AATTGTACCTTATGATTTGACTACACTGCAAAAACAAAAAAAAAGTAGAAGTTGCGTAACATCCCCTCGAACGACACGACAGAATCAAAACCACCAATATCCATATTTGTGGATATTCTTGAGTATTTAAATTTTTAAAAGTTTAAGAGGAAATACATTATTATTATATTTTCTTTTTTTAATTAATTTTTTAGGTCCTTCTAGATTCAAATAACAAATTAATCTTGTTAATTTGTGTTGAACATTTCTCGCTTCATTAAGATATGTATCTATTCCATTTACATTTATTATTTCTATATCTTCTTCACCAGTCCCATTTACTTCTATTTCAGCATAAAAAAGTGGTTTAATTCTTACCATTTTCTTTAATTTAATTAAATTATTTTTATTATTATGACATTAAAAATTTTTTAATGTCCAGTGAAATTTAATGTAACTGGATTTGATGTAAAGGGTGGTTATTATACATACTTTTACCAAAGCTGGTTCTAATTTTTAAAGTTTCATATAAGCAATACTTTAATAGTTGCTAAACTCTATTTAAGACACAATTATTTAAACCCCAAGAGTGATATCCAGCTTTAAATAATAATTATAACTCAGATAAATAAGTTGAAGAAGATTGTAATTTCAGACTGATAAACTTACATGCCCCTTTCCCTTTTTTGCTTTTTTAAAACAAATATCTATCCCGTCTCTATAAGAGTTACGATCAATGTCTTCAAACAATTCTTTAATTCGAACTATTTTTATTTCTGAGCCATCTTTTAATATTTTAATATCTACATTATCTTTATTGTAATATTTATTTCCTTCTCCACCACAAGCACCCAAAGCCTTATCTAGAAAATTATTTTTTTTAAATATATTTAATATTATTTAAACTCAGATGGAAACTTGTCCTAAAAGCTACTAATAGAGTCAAACTTTGTTTTTAGATTAATTTAAGGTGTAATTTCTAAAAATTTGTCTGCTTAAGCTATACTTTTTATTCGAGATACACTTCGTTATAAGTTACGATTTTTAGCCTATGTTAGTTCCACTATATTAGTATGTATTTGTAACTGGCTCAAGACAATTCCAAGGTTCGGTATATTATGTATCTTTCGATCGGACTAAGTCCATTTACATGTAAAAAATAAATTAAAAAAATTATATTACTCAAATCTTTTATGTAAATTAAATCATAATTATTTAATTCAAAATTTATTTCAATATCAATTTCTAGTAAATTATCCATTTCTTCCCCCTCTTCATTAATTAAATTAATATTATTTTGATTCATTTTTGTAATTTCCATTTTTATTAATTTAATAAATAAATTTCCATCCTCTTTTATATTTCTTTTTGAATTTTCAATTAATATTTTTTGGTTAGGTTTAATAATGTTTTTTGAATAATAATTGGGAAATATTAATAAAAATAATTTTATTAAAATAATTATTTTTAAATTGTACATTTTTTAATTAAAAAAGAATTTACATTAATCTTAATTATAATTAACTTTAATTTATTAGCATTACAATATATGCCGCTTTGCGGCTTATGACGAAAATAACATTCAAAAAAGGCCAAGCAAAATTGCGCGTAAATTTTCTCTTTTTATGTGTGCCCATTATTACAACATAAATAGTTCATACATAATCGTATATATTTGTATAAAATATGTTTTTGTTAAATGAGTAATTGATCTTTAAAATTTACGAAATATTTTATTTATTAATAATAATTAATTTATTTTAATAATTAATACTCGAATCTGTCTTATATTTAATTAAAAAATGATTTGGATGGAGAAGCATATGTAGTAAAGACGAGAAAGTTTTGGGATGTTACTACAATTGCAACGTCAAAAAATCAAGGTTCTTCTGAAACAAAAAATCATCGAAAATCGAAAAAATTAAAAATAGGCAAATATGTAATTTGCAGTTTTTTTAGTTAAAATAGGTTGACTGATCTGGAAAATCACCGGATACTTGGAACCGGAATTTTTATTAAAATACTGAAGCCTTTGTGACACAAAATTAAATTTTTTTGAAAAACTTGAAAATTAAATTTCGAAGCAGTTCTGGTTTTAAAATCATTTATCAATTTAACAAATAAATTTATTTTTTTTATAAATAAATAGCATTAATACATATCTTCACAATCCCATTTTAATCTTCAAAATGTTTAAAAACGAGAAAGAAAAGATAATTTTCGGTAGCAATTAACCTTTAAATTAAGGAAATATTTTAAATATTTTTTATATAATTGGAGGAAGTAATACGTCCAGAAGCCTATGAAATTACGTCCAGAAGCTAATGAATTTTTTTGGTACTTTTCTCTCTCCCTTATTTTTAGAACTAATCTCTTTCACTTTTTGCTGAACGAACAATAATTAATGGAAAATTAGAAAGTAATTTGTTACTCACTAGGACTTAAAGTCAAAACGGGGGGATAATTTCGCGGAGAACGAGTAATCAAAAATCGTGGGTATAGTTTTTATACCTTTTGTTATCTATATAAAATGGACTTTAAAAATAAAAATTTTTAATAATAAAAGATTTAATTATTACAGTAGTCGACAAAAAGATAGGGACAAACGCAAGTGAAATGGAAATCACCTATTTTCTCACCTAAAAATCGATTTCAGGAAAAATTTTTTGTTTGATTAAATACGCCATTCAATCCTCTATTTAATGAGTATAAGATCTGGCGTATTATTATTTTTTGATATACTGAAATAATTGAAATAAAAAAGTACTGCAAATTTTAGCCCGACAAAAAGATAGGGACAAGTCTTGTAACTTATTAGTCACCCAACCAATAAATCTACAAAAATTCGTGCAAACATACTTATCGATACTAAGATAAAATAAAAAAGAACTAGGCCAATATCTCATTTCAATGTCGAGATCTCGATACCCCAAAAATCAACGTAAAACAGGGGTAAGCATCTTCAGAAAATATTTTCGAGTATGATGCATAATTAAATTGTAGATGCATAATTAAAATATTTTTAAATTAATATTTTAGGAAATATAAAAATTACAATTAGTATATGCTTTACTTTTATTTAAAAATAGTTTCTTTAAAAAGCTGTTTATTCCTCCTAGATTTTAAAGTTGTCCCATCTTATACTCTTCAAATGAATAACTTCAAAATTAATTTTAGAAAATTTTGTTTTTAAATTATATTACAATTTTTTTAAGTAACTGCTTTATCATTTTCTTTAACGTCTCGGCCACTATTAAATTAAAAATTATTTTTATTGTATAATAATTTTATTATTTGTAAATTCTTTCTCAACTTACTCCAACTGAATGTGATTCAATGCCTTGATAAATAGCCTAAAAATTCTTTTTATCTAAAATTTTATTATAAAGTTTACATTAAATCTAACAATATTATTGGCTAAGATTGTCGCGCGTTTTGGACTGCCAGATTGTATTGTACGTTGTTCAGCCTGTGCTATGGCATCACCTAAGCGAAGATTTGTTGGAACAATAGGTCCTTGAGGCCCTGGATTACTACGATAAATAACCAAATCTCCGCTTGTTAACTGAAAAAAGCATTAAAATATCTAGGTTTTGTAGGATAATTGTGTTTCGCTCCCATGGTCACCGCTGTAATAAGTATCTAAGAACCCAGAAAAATATAAATTTAGCGTTTTGACCATTTTTAAACTTTGGAAAGAAATATTTATGAGCGGATAACGGAAATGTACCAACATAGTCAATAGATGAGCTATGCCTATCTTCAAGTTCTTTAACGAACGAAGTAAGAGTAAATTCACCATTAATTATTACTCTTGGTAAAGGATTCAAGAAAGAATTATTTGTTGAGTTTGAAGAATTTTCCATATAAAAATTAAAAATAAAATATTATTTTCTTATTAAAAATATTTATAAATAAAAATAAAAAGGAAAGATAGGATATGTAATAAGAAAGAAGAATAATAAAAAAAGGTAAAGATATAAAGTGAAAAATGAAGGTCATAAGGGGGTCCTATACTAGTGATGCTCGGGAGAAGAAAAAAACCCGGGAAACGGGAGTCGGAAATTCTGTTGACACTAATTAGAGGAAATTCAATACATATAGATATGCCAAAATACTAGTCTCCTAGGCAAAGGTTTAAATTGATAATTAATATTAAGCAATAAATCCACTTAATTAGCGCCGTAGGCGCTAATTAAGTGGATTGCCGGGCCCGGCTTTTCAGAGGCAACCCGGGCGGCTTCTGGGCTAAAAACGCCGAATAACCGGATTTCATCAAAATGCCCTCTGGGCTACCGGGCCCGGCTCGGGGTTGAACTCTAGTTATTTCATCGTTTTCGACCAATTGGTGTCGATGAGTGGGACTGATAATTGTTTATCAAATAATTAAATGTAATTTAAAAATAAAATTTATAAATAAATAGCATTAATATCTTCACAATCCCATTCTAATCTAAATCCATTTCCATCGTTATTTAAGTTGGAATCTGATCGAAATTCAATAAATAAACGATTCCCTGGTGGAATTAATATTTTATGGGGAGATTCTGAGTCAACCTTTAAAAAAATATTTTTTAAAATTAATTTTTTAAACAAAAAATAATTAACAGAGCAAGGCCAAGGTTGCCAATTGAGCGTATTAAAATCGGGAATTGATTGGACATTTTGTGTTGATGTGTCTATTGGTGAAAGAGCAGATTTGGCAGGAGGTTCTAAAATAAAATTAAAGATTTTAAGAGATTGGACATTTGTGGAAATCGAAATTTAAAAAAATTGTTGAGTTGCTTAATATAAATGTTAATATAAGGCTGGAACTTGATTCAGAACCACAAACTTTTTTGGCTAAAACCCCCGACCCTAGAAAGTGTCAACTCCGACCCCGACAATTTTCAGGTGACCCCGACATTAAATAATGATGTTAGTTCCTTATTGAAGAAAATTGAAGGTCTTTCTTCTATAAGCCTTTCCTCAGCCTTTTAAAAACTAGCTAACTGGACGACAATAATTATCTTTTTTATTTTTTAATATTTTTCTCCCTTACTTGAATCTCTACATTCATTACCAAAATCAGCATTTAATATCCGAACAGTACAGAAAAATCCAGTTGGAGGTATTAAAGTAGAACGTAATAAACAATTTTGTGGATAACTATTTGGGTAATTAATACTTGTTAATGCACCTGATCTTTCACGTATTGGCGATAATTCATAAATTTGTAAATTATTTGAAGCTAAAAATTGTTTAAATTAAAAATAAAACCTTTAATTTAATTTCTAAAAAAAACTAGATAATTATTGAAAGTTTAGGGAGTATTGGGAAATCTTTAAAATATTTTTTTTTGATTTTCTATCAAATTCAAAAAATAATTCCTCTTGTTCTTTATTAGTCACAACCGAACCTAAAGTTCACGTGCGCCCTTTAATTTGATTGGCAAATAAATAGGTAAAGCTATCTAAGAGATACTCCAAACAATGGAGTATTTAAAAGTAAAATATATTTTTAATTAAAAATTAATTTATACTTGTTATCCTAACAGAATAATAATTAATTTCAAAACCACTTCCCATAATAGAAGCATCTGTAGTAAGAGTAAGTTCAATTTTGTTATTTTCAGAAATTAATGAAGGGGGTAACCAAGAACCACAAAGAGTTTTTGTTTTAATTTCAAATGAATTATTTGTCTTTTAAAAAATTATTTTTAATTTAATTTTTTATAATTTACATTTAATTGATTATTTGAAGATAAACAACAAATATTTAAATAATCATATAAACAATTATCAGCCCCACTCGTTGCTGTACCAATAAAATGATCTGAATTAGCACCAATTGGTCGAAAACGATAAAACATTGATTGAGGTAACATTCTGTGACGGCCCCTTTCTAATTCAAAATGTTTAAAAACGAGAAAGAGACGATGATCCTCGGCTGCAATTAACCTTTGAATTGAGGAAGTATTCTAAATAAAATATTTTTAAATTTAAACTTTGTTGTGCAACTAGAATTAGCCAAATAAGGGGAATGGGGATAATTGGGGGAAGTAATACGTCCAGAAGCTAATGAAACACCATCGGGAACTAAAAGAAGAAATTAATTTTTAACAAAATTGTGTAATTCTTTAACCATTTCCGTCAATTTCAATACTTCGATTGCAAGCAGAAAGAGTCCGAAAACGAATACGGAAACTAGCAGAGAATTGGCTTTGGAGAAGAACAGAAGCAGTTAATTGTATAACTGAAGTACTTGAAATGTACCATTGAGGTGCCTGAATAAATTAAAGGGGAATGGCAGTATAAATGGTGTTTTAATTTATAAAATGATTTTGGAATTAAAGAAGAAGCTTAGAGGAAGATACTTAATCCATCTAAAGAAAACTTTCTTATCTAAATAAATAATATAAGACTCTGGGAAAGGATTGATTATTGCCTCCCTCACTTTTAAAAATCTGCTTTAAACATTCCCTATCCTCAATTACCAACATTATCTCCACATGTACGTATAGTTTTTTCCTTTTTTCCTTGTAATGGTTCGGTAGCACAAGCAGGATGTTGACATTCACTTAAAGCCCCAACATCACGAAGTTCCAAAAATTCATCCAAACAATTACCGCTGGTTGATGGAAAAGAAAATTGCTCAAAAATAACTTCCAAAGGTTGTTGCTTTTCTGTATAGAGAAACCACCGACAACTGAAAAGTAATAAAATTTCAAAAAAATTTTTAAATTATTCAATTATAATTGCCGTTTATGTCGTTGATTTGTTCGTTTTAGTGTCCGTTCACTAACAAAACTAACATCAGACCAATCTTGGCCAGCCAAAAAAGCTCCTCCACAGTCAGATTTAATTGCTCTAAACTCAGCCTTCAAAAAATTTTTTTAATAATTAAATTTCAATAATTTACTTGAAATCCAGTTCCAGCTAATTCTGTACTAGAATCGGAAGAGAAAAATACGTCAATTTGGCGATGGGATGAAATAAAATTTGGATTTAATTCATTATTGTCAGTTAAAGGTAAACTACAACTTGGTGGAAGTAATAGAGGGGAAGTTGCCTTTAGAAATATAATTTTTTGTAGTAAATTAGAAAAAATTCTCTTTATTTTACTTTAGGTCCATCATAAATAGCTATATAATCAAAACAAGGGGTAACTTCCAAAAATGAAAGTCCAACATAATTAGCTAAAGTTGAATTAACAGAATTTTGTTGTTGTTGTTGTGGAGGTTTTTGTTCTAATTTTAATTCAATTAAACGAATTTCTATAAGATTTCCACGCTCAGCCTATAAAATGTGAAAGTTGACTAATTTTATTTTTAATTCCTTTTTACTTCAATATTCCATTCACAACGAAGATTTGGGTAGTAATTCTCAGTTTGAGGATCTATTGGAACATTTAATTTCGTCCATTCATTTTCCAAAGCTTTAAGAGAACCCCCACAACCTTTGGAAGGCCCCAATGTTGCTGTTAATACCTTTAATTTATTTATTTTTCAAATTTTCAAAAAATACTTTAAATATTACCATTCTAAACCCATCAAAACTTGTACTGTGGTCACTTCTAAACCGAACAAGTAATCCAGAACCACTACTTTTCATTTCACCGTCGGGTGCTTTATCCCCACAAATAATTAACTTTAAAAAATTTGTGTATTTTTTCATTAAAAATCAGAATTTCATTTACTTTTCTGCTCTGATTATTAAATTCTTTTTCATCAAAAACTTCAACAGAATCAAAGGGACAATCACCCTGTACCCCCATTTCTATATTTAAATCAGTAAATTTATAAGAGATTATATAATCAGAAGAGGCAGTTATATTCCAGACACAATCGAGTGAATGATGGTAGGGGAGAGGAAAAGCTGGGGAAGTGATATAAACTGACTCTAAAATTAAAAATAAATTGAAAAAAGGGAAATTAAATACGTGATCGAAATGATTGTTGATCTGTCACTAAATTTACATCACCCCCACAATCTGCTAATGCATAAGATAATTTGAAACCGCGACGATTTTTCCATTTGGAAGAATCCGATGAATATTGTGAACGGATTGTTACAAAACGGACACCAATTGGACCCTAAATAGATCATTTAAATAAATTTTATCCAATTACTTTAATGGAAACAGCCTCCGCTGAATCAGCCTGGAAAGTAGCTCCACAAAGTAATTGAACAGTAACATTTTGTTCAACATCTTTAATCTCTAAATAATCAGAAGAACATAAACGTCGCTGATTATCATTTTTATTAAATTCAACAAAATTTGTATTATCCAAATCAAAATCCAAAACTTTTAAGGTAACAATTTGTGTAATGCCTGGCTGTACTTCTGGGTCAATAAGGTAATCACATTGTGTTGCTTTATTTGGATAATTAATTGGGTAATTTGGAGAGGTTATTACACCATGGTTATTACGAAATACAGCACCTCCACAAACTAAATTTAAAATCAGAATTTTTTTTAAAAAATTTATTTCTGTGTATATTCATAATGAAAAATAAAAATCAGAAAAATAATAATTTATTTGGGATAAATCAGAATTTAATTTAATTAAAACAGAATCTCTTTTTATTTAATAATTCAGTAAAGTTTCAAAAATAAGCTAATTGTAGGGAAGAGAAAGCTGGTTAGCATTTAAAATGCGCACTAGACGGGGGTTTAAGATCTACTAAAAGAGAAGGTGAAAGCAGCGTCCCGGTAGCTCATATCAGTCGGTGAGCTTGTACGTGGTGAGTAAAAGTGCCTATCAATAACTGACAGGAGGTCACAGGATCGAAGCCTGCCCGGGATTAAACTTTTAACTCGCTCTTACTTAATAATATTTTCAGTTAATTATTCTGATTTTTTAATTATTCAAGAAAATTAAAAACACAAATTTACCCGCTTCCCAACGTAATTTAAATCCTTTTGCCGTTTTACGAGAATCCGTTGTAAAATTAATTTTAACTCTGTTGCTTTCTGTTCGAATAGGTGCAGGTAATTTATTTCCACAAAGTTTTTGGCCAGGCGATTCATGATCAAAATAAAAATAATAAGAACGTAGAGGAACTATAGCACGTGATTGGTGCTCCTCTGAGATCTTTTTTTTGTTAAAAATTTAAATAAAAAAATTCCTCCTCCCTCAGAAACTTACTTTTAAAAAATCATTTTTGCAATCAATTGATTGTGCAATATCAAAATATTCAAAAGTAATTAATATATGATAGCCAGTAGGGACTTGTAAATCCCACAAACAATTTGTATTGTTTAAATAATCATTTAATGGATAGCCAGGGGATTGAATAAATCCGCCGGCAAGTGAATGGAGATTGAAACCACATTGTTTTGGATTTGGTAAAGAAAATGTATATTGGAGAGAAAAACCACGGGCGGTTATCTAATTTTTAAATATTTAAATTATTTTTTCATTTAAAAACTAACAGTACTGTCAGTGTGAAAACGAAGTGTTAAAGAACGGCCGGCAGAACGAATAATTCGAAAACGTTCTGGTAGTTTCTGATCTTCTCCCATACTTTCAGAATTGCAATATCGGTGAATGACTGCAGAAGATTGTCGTTCACCTTTTTTTGAAAAAAATTAAATTTGTTAATCTTTGTTCAGAATATTTTAGAAAACTACCAGAAATAACTTCCAACATATCCAGTGAACATTCAATGTGATATTCCAAATCCATTGTGGTAAATTTTATCTGTGAGAAAATTGAATTTATTAACTCTTCTCTAAACAAATAATACAATAAAAAACATATTTACTTCAACAACGTAAGATTCAGGTGCTCTAAGTAACCAAAGACACTCCAAACCATTACTGTAATTGGAGGATGTTCCAAACCCTGGACTGCTCAATTCGCCAGACATGCCCATAAAACGTTCATCAATTAAACCGCCACATTCTAATAAATTAAATTTTATAAATTATTTACAAACCCCCTCTCCCGAAAATCCCCCCCCCCCTCCCCATATAAATATAAAAAGCAAAAAACCATAAAAATCCAAAATAATATTAGCAGATAATTTAAAAGCATAAATATCTAATTGAGAATTAAGTAAAATAAAGTTTGTTTGATTATTTTGAGCAATATAATTATTTCTACAAATAATTTCTTCAAAATCTATTGGATCAGAATTTTCATCTTAAAAGATTATTTTAATTTTCAATCACAAAAACTACCTCTAATTAAAAATTGACTTTCCCAATTAGTACATTTATTACTTAATTTATCAGTTGAATATCCAGAAGAATAAAAGCTAGCATTTAAAATTCGTAAATGTAAAGTGATAAAATCTGGATTTAATTTGCGTATTTGGATGTGACAAAAGGCTAAAATAATTATTGAGAAAAATATTTTTTTAGTAAAATTTTTTACAAATTTGTTGTTGATCACCAAAAGTCTGAAAAATATATTTTAATTATTTTTTTAGTTTTTTGCCAAGAAAATTGTGTTTAAAAAATTTTTTTGCCGTATGTGCTCAAATAATTGCCCCGGCCAATTATTGTTTCAACCTCTCACTAGAGGGGGTATTTAATTGATAGAAAAAAAGTATTGAGAAAAACATTTGAGAGAGGGCAACAGTGCTGGGTATTTGCCATTTGTTGGCTCCGGCTCCAGGGTTTCAAAATCTTGGCTCCGGCTCTGGGCTCCGGCTTCCCGGAACCGGAACTTCCGGTGAAACTCTAGTAATTATTAGAGAATATACGGTATATTTTCAAAATTTTAATTTTACCTGGGGCATATTCAAACTTAAATTTCCAGCCATTGTTAATTCATACATACAAGAAGCATTATTTAAATCTTTCGGCACTTTTGTATATTTTATTTTAAATTGTTTTTTATTTAATAATTTCCATTCTATTTTTGGCGATAAATTAACAATTTTAGCATAATTACAAAATCCTTTCAAATAATTCTCTCCACAATTATTATTATCATATTTTAATATAGAAATGTCAGAAGTAGAGATTATTCGAGTTTTGTTTGAACAAAAATATTGAGAATTACTATTTAATATTCGATCACCAAAGTCAATGCCATCATAAAACTTTAAGTTTATTTTAATTTTAGGAAATTTCTGAATTGAAAATTAATTTACCAATAAATCTATGAAGCAATTTATTTTATCCGCGTTATTAGAAGGAAGCATTAAAGCATTCTAAAATATTATTTTTTTGGTAACTTTTTTTTTAATTTTGAAAAAATAATTAATTTCACCTCCTCCTCCTCCCCACTATTTCCTGCCAAAAATTCAAAATCTAACAAATATCTAAACCCAATCCCAGCTTGAAAATTCCATTGACAAAAAAGAGGTATTTCTGCCATATAACTACTTCCATAAGGCAAAGACAATTCCCCTCCATCATCCTTTATTGTCCCTCCACAAGACAATTTAGATGCCCAAAGTCGAAGACTAAAACCACATTTTCTAGCTAAACAGAATAAACGGGCAGCTCTAGCAGCTGTATTTGTACTAATATATGAAGTTGTTGTTGAACTTGTTGTGTAATTAACAACAAATAAAATTGAAAGGGAACGGTGTTGTGAACGATAAAAACCGTTGGAATTTAAAGTTAATTTTGAACATGTAGGTTTTTGGATATATTCACCTTTTGTTTTTAATAATTATTTTTTAATAATTTAAAAAACCAGTAGAATTATAATCTCTAATTGTTAAATATTCAGAAGTACAGTTTTCCGTAGCAGATAACCAAAAATGTTCCATCCTAAGAAAAAAAATGATTTTTAGAAAATTATTTATTTAAAAACATTGCTTCAACAAAATGTCCTCTCGGTGCAAATATTATCCATTCACAATTTAAGGAGGATGGGTAAACATCGGGAAAGTTGGGAGAATGAATTGTTGAATTCTGTCCAGAAACAAGGACAACAGAACCTCCACAAAAGGATAAACTAATTGTAGCATTCCAACCAGGTGATTCTGAATCGCTGTCTGAAAAAAGGAAAAAGTGATGTTAAGGGAGATTGAGGAAATTGAAAAATGTTTATTGACAAAATAAAAAAAAATTATTAACCAGTCACATAACGAACATACAAATGTTCGCTAGTTGATATAAAAGTACTTGGAGCATTTGTTTCGCAAAAACGTCCAACTAATGTTGATGCATGTGAACTTCCATCCCTAATTTCTAAATAATCCTCTTCACAACTAAATTATTTTTTTTAAATTTTCATTTCAAAATTTCTTTCCCCACCGATCCCCACTAATTGGATTTTGTAAAAGAAATGTTCTAGGATCAATTGTAAATTGTAATCGCCTTCCGGGAGGGGCACTAAGAATCCAATTACAATCTAAGGAATTTGGTGAAGCTAGAGGAAATTCTGGAGAAGTAATTATTTTTTGAGGAGAAAATTGATCAAGTTGAATTATTGAAGAAGCACAGTCGTGGATAATTTCGTGAAGACGAAGTTTAAATCCCTAAGAGTGTTTTTATTTCCAAAAATTATTTATTGGAATACCCTTCCTTTAGGTAAAGCTCTTCTATAGCGAATAAATAAATAACCAGAAGGAACTGTCAAATTAAACTTTTCTTGTCCACAATGTACCAAAGAACGATTAGCAATTGTTTCTTCGCTATAGAAAGGTGTAGATGAAAATTCTAAAGCATCATTCACACATTCCTGGCTTGACCACTCCCTCGGGGCTAACTTAAAAATAAAAAAATTTTTTCCCAAAAAATCGGACAAACATCCATATCCAAAGCCTGAACAAAAATATCCCTTCTCGATAAAACAAGGATTGACCAATGACATTTTAGATTTTTAATAGATAAAGTTAAATCTTCAGGTGAAGGTTCTAAAGATAAATGTGTATCTAAAATTCCTTGAGATGGAAGCAAGAGTTCAATGGAATTGCAGGATAATGAATAATTAAGAGAAAACCCTCCACTAATCCGAGACCTGAAAATGAGAGTAAATAAAGGTAAGGATCTCACTAAAATATTGCAAGGCCAACGGAGTTTCCTCCCAGCATAGCCAAAAATATAACGAAAGCTCCCGATAAAAACCTTGTATCGGAGAGCCTTTAGGGCAAGTCCTATCCAATCTTTTAGTTTCAGCAGCTTACTTACTATACACTCAATACAAAATATCCACTCTAGATAAATCTTAATGTATGTAGGTGGGAGATCCGACTAATTCAAGAAATATTTAAATTAAAATTATATGTATTTACCTGTCTGTGTAAAAATAAATAAAAGCAAACTCTGACGAATTTATTTCAATTGTTGTTGTTGTTTGCTGTTGTTTTTGGCAAATTCTTTGAATCGTTGGAATATTATCTAATTCTTTAGCTTTTTCATAATTTACTGTCCCAAGAGATAACCAATCATATTGACATTCTGGGTGGGGTTCTAAATCTAGATTGGTAACAGACAACAAAATATTGGCAAATTGGGGACGTCTTATTGTCCATTTACATCTCTCATTGTTACGATACCTTTGAGGAAAATTTTAAAAATAATTTAGAAAATTCTTTAGTAAACGTATTTTCCACACTATTAACTATATAAATAAATCAGAAAAAAACTACCAACTTCATTGTATTCTGATCAATCGGACTAAAAAGTGTTTGTATTTTATATGTTGCAATTAACTCTCCCCCACAAGTAAAGCCTCCATCTTTTGATTTTTCGATATTATCCTTTCAAGTAAAGAAAATGGAATTAATTATTAAGATTCTCAATAATTACAATTTCTGATGTCCCATTATGTTCTCCTTTCCTTGGATTTACCTCTTTCCAATAAAATTTAAATGGAGATACAAGACAATTTTTGGAAACAAAACATTTTGGATAAAAAACAATTGTTGCTTTATTAGATCGTAAAGTATATAAATAATTTCTCTCGGGAGGTGAAAGAGGGGTAAAGCTAAGAGTTAATGGATCGTTAGCAACACAGGCTTCTTCTTCCTAAATTTAAATTTTTTAAATTAAATATTTTCCAATAAATCACCAACCAACGAGGAAGGAACCAAAAAACACCAATATGGGTGAATATCTATTCTAGCCGGAAATTGTTCTAAAATATATTCAGTCAATCCAAACTGAATCCAATTCTCAGAATCTTCTGTAGCGATTCGCCAAGAAACTGGCTGAATTAACCCTTCGGGGGGCGATTCGATTATGTGAGAAGATGTTTGGCCATAAACTTGAATAAAATAATTTAAATTGTGAATACAAATTCAGAAAATATAACTAACGATAATTAAATAGTTAACACTCACTTTTTGTATATTTTAATTCAATTCTTGCTATTTTTCCATTATCATTATTTCCTTCTCCTTCACCCCCATCAATATCCAAATCTTCTTCAATTTTGTGTCTCAATCTAATATAAATAGGTCCTTCAATATTTTCAACAGATGGGGGAAACAAATCTCCACAAAAACGTCCAATTAATTGTCCACTCGAATTTTTTTCTCGAAATTCCAAAAATGAAATTGTACAGAATTCCGACTTTGGAAGTGAAAAAGCAAGAATTTGGATAGAAACATGGGAGCCTTTAACGGCATTAATAGTCCATTCACATTCTGTTGGGGACAAAATTGGATTGAGTGCAAGTCTGCCTTGTTGATCGTTAATTGATTGACCACCACAAACTTTAAAAATAAATTATATAATAGTCAAACTAATTTTAGATGAACACTTGGAGCTTGATAAATAATATCTTATAACGGAGTTTATTTTACATAGAAGGTATCGCTTAAGAAGCTTCCCGCACACTATGACCAACCAAATTCTAAAAAAAACAAATTAAACTAAGGTGTATTTAACTAAGATTATCTAAAAATAAGGTTCCACTGTATGTATGTCATATTAAAAATATTTTAAAATAATTCTGTTTGAAGAAATATAAATTTATTACAGGTGGATGCAACATCATAATTAATAAGAAAAGCAGATGATTCCATTGTATTTAATTGTTTACCAACTAATTTTGCCTGATTCTGATCACATACAAATTCATGGAAATGTTGTAGTTGGGGTGTTTGATGAGTGTTTGTGTAATGTGTTGAAGCCTCAACAATTCCTTTAGAATCTTCTCCACAAAAAAATTCCAACTGAGGAGGTTCTCCATTATTATTAGGGTCTAATAATTGTGTTGATGATGGGAAAAAGTATTGCTCGACACGAACAAAGATTTTCTGATTGCCTTTAAAAATAAATTTCACAAATAATTATTGAAGATTATTTACCTTCAGAATTTTCACTCAAACGTAAATTCCATTCGCAAATATTGCTATTATTATTTTCTTTTATTTTATTAATATTTTGTTGCATTTTTAACCCAACATTTGCTGTATTAAGCACTTTACGTTCACTATTAACCCAAAGAATTCCACCACATTTTGCATAAACATGAAGACGAAAACCTATTGGCCGTTGAATTTTTTGTTGTTGTTGAGGAGTATTAATCTCAGAACTTATTTGGTCATAAGGTGCTCCTCTAAATGTGACTATACCCTAAAATAAGCCCAATAAAATAAAACAAAAATAAATTTATTCACCAAATTTCCATCCATTATTATTTCAACCGGATTTACTCTTATATCTTTACAAATTCTATATTTTGTTTGTAAAATGCTTCCATAAAATCTTAAAAAATATTTATTTTTAATTTGGAATAAAATAAATTTTTAATTAAATTATTACAATAAATTCCTCATTTCTTCACAAAATTACTCAAAATTCTCACTTACAAATTTTCTTGATTTAGTTGTTGGCCAGAGGATATATTATTTTCAGCCATTCCTTCAGAGAAAATAAGACCCCCACGCAAATAAAGCATATGATACCCACAAGTAAAATCCTCAGGATTTAAAGAATTATTTGATAATGACTGAGAAGATGAAGTAGCAAATACTCCTGTACCTCCCCGCCAATCAAATATTGATGTGCCCAGCACTGGACTTGTAAAATTCAAAATTTGGAATGCCGGTATAAACCCTTCAGGCGTTTCAAATTTCCAAGTTAGCTAAAAAAATAATATTTAAATAATTCTTTTAAATTTATTTTTTGCCTCAATGCTTCTTGGATAAGGCTTTGGATAGTTTGGTGATTGAATAAATGAATCAGAATGTGGATCAACTAAAAATATTATTATAAAAAATACTAAATTTCCAAATATAGTCGAACTTAGATATCCCTTGAAGCTAGAGGATTATAAAATATAATGAGGGGCACCTTATGGTATTGTTTAGGCAGACCCCCTTTGAAAAAATATACGTCCTAACTTGTTGGGTACCAAATTTTGGGGATATTTAAAAGTGAGTTCGACTGTATTTTATTAAATTCCAACCAAAAATAACTCCTCCATTTCCTTCTGTGGAAATAGGCCAAAAATTAATTTTTGCAGAAAAAACAATTTGATCATCAACAGGAGCAAATGTTCCATCACCAAAAATTGCAGCCCCAATTAATGTATCAGTTAATAATTCTGTTGTGTCTGTATGATAACTAAATACAATTGCTAACCCTCCAGCAGAAGCTGAATTTCCTCCCCAATTAAAGCTAACATTTTTTAATTTTCCACAAAATGCTTTTAAAGGCAAATCTTCTTCATTTCCTCCAGATAACCTTTCAAAAGCAAATTGACTGTCAACAGCGTAAAACTTAATTTTAATTTTTTTTCATTTACTCACAAACATTTCCCCCTACCTGAACACCATCCCTCAAACGAGTCTTTTCACCACCGGTAAAGCCAGCCGGCTGAACTTCAAAACATTTTTGTCCAGCAGGTACTGGCTCTGTCTGCATCCTTTCAATCATTACTTGAATGCTATAGCCAATTGGTGGCTTTTAAATATTTAAAATATTTAAACAAATAATCTATTTATTTACCTTAATATACCAAATACATTTTCGATAAGGATCCTCCCCCACGAAATCAGCCCCTTCTGAAGCATTGGCTATTAATCGAGAATTATTTTGTGTAATAACACCTCCACATCCTTATATTTATTTTTTTTCTTAAATATTATTCCCTAAATTACCAATAGTATTCCAACTAAGCCAAAAATGATTTTCTGGTTCATTTCTCGAATAAAATTCTAAATTTAATTTATTTTGTTTTGAAATAATTTCCATTGGTTCAGCAATTCCAAGACATAAACTTTCGGGGATTTTTGTTGAATCGTTACTTTTCATTGTTTTTCCATTTTTTATCCAAATAATTTGTTTAATTTCATTTGAAAATATCTGATTTATTTATAATATTTATTTTAAATAATTAATAAAACCTTCAAATAATTTTTAGCACAAAAGGATGGACTAGTTCTCATAAATTTCACTGTAAAAATAATTCTATTTCAATAATTAAATTCTGATTAAATTATTAAGAATAAATGTTCTGATTTTTAAAATAATTATTAAAAAAAATCAGAATTCTGATTTGTTATTTTAAATAAAAATATTTCTGACCCAAATTATTTCCAGTATCTGTAATTCTAAATAGGTGGAATTGCAATTGAATTCGACTGCCAGAAGGAGTTTGAATTTTCCATTTGCAATCTTTAAGAAGAAAATTTTTTAACTATTATTTTTCCACTGTTTTCTGGCTCGCCTCCTACATATTCAAATTAATTAGAAAAATTTGTGTAAATTCTCATTCAACCCCCCAGCTCGAAGAGCTCTATCAAAGAAATTATAAAACTTCCAAAAAATTTTTTATTTTTTTTCCAAAAAAATTTTTTTAGAAGGAAAGGAACTAATTTAAAAATATTTTCCAATAATTTTTCTTACTTCTAGGTAAGAGTACTCGTTGTGGATATCCAGGTGATTGTAATGTTCCATGCAATCCTTCCAATAGAATATCAGTACAAACTTGATAATATATAAATTAAATATATTCAAAAATATGTACCAGTAGAAAATTCAGCAAAAAATCCAAAAATGGGCGAATGATGAGAACCTCCATGTTGGGAGAATTTAACATTTAAAGAATTACTGGAAGAGATTATCGGTAATGGATTTGTTGTTTCTTGTTTACAATAACGTTCAATTAAATGTTCATTTTTGCTATTTTCTCCTCCATATTTTATATCATAAAGTTCTAATAAATTTCGACTAAAAGGGGAACAATTCCCGTCAGAATCTTCAGAGTCTAGATTGTCTAATTTAATTATTTGGAATTGAATCTAAACAAAACAAAATAATTTTTGAGTGAATTCTAGAAGGGAGGAACTTTATTTCCTGAGGGTACAGCTAACAACCATTCACAACGGAGTGAATGAGAATCTTTATAGGGATATTGTGGTGTTGAAATAGCTCCACTAAATCCTGTTATGTGACCACCACAGCCTGAAACACAAATATTTAAATAACAAATTATTTATTTACCAGCTTCGTACTGCTCGTATTTTACTTCAAACCGAATTGCTTTATTAGTTATTGAACGAAAACGAAGGAAAAGACGATTTCCTTGAGAGATTAATTGCTTTATTGGATTCTCATCTTTAATTAATTAAAAAATATTTTGGAATTATTTTGTACAAATTAACTGCAAATTTCAGAATCTCCATAAAGCCCAGCAAACCCTGGAGAGGATTCTGAAGGGCCATTCCGAACCATTAAAGTTCCATAATCACAAGGAGAAGAAATATTTAAAATATTTAAAAGAATACGACGATTTGAAGAAATCTATTTTTAAATTAAATTTTAAATAAAAAATAATATAATTATTTACTTGAATTTTATAATTACAATATTCATTTTGCTCAAAATTTCTAAAATCGAAAACAAATTCCCCTGAGGATGCTGTAAATGTTCTGTCACAATGTGAAGTCAAATCAATTGCTTGGAATTTTGCTGAGAAACCAGAACCGCTCACAGAACGATCACTAATGAAGACGACAGCCATTTGCCCCGAATTGGAAATTAATGGAGGTGGCAAGGATTTTCCACAAAATCTTTAGAAAAATATAAATTTTAAAGTAAGGAAAAGGGAGAGAGAGAACGAGTCTTAAAGTAGGGAACGAATTATGATATCAATAACACCCCAAAATCCATCCGACATAAAAAGGGGTCGAGACGGCAGGATCCACGGAGAAGGCCGGATCCCCTCATTCAAATAATTGTCCTCTCTTTATTAATCCTCTCCCCCTTCAACGAAAGGTTGAAACAATAATTACTCAATTAATCGAATAAATACTTAACATACTTTCCAAGTAACTGTCCATGTTCATTATCATCAGTATAAGTATCAAAAACCCTAACATTATCAAAATCGCAATCATCCCTATGGGCAACATTTTCTATATCAAAAACATCAAAACTAAGACGGACAGCTTTTCCCTGCCACAAAAACTCAGTTTTCTTTAAATTATTCAAAAAAACTAACAATTGGTACTCGAAGGAAATAAACACAATACATAAATGGAATATAAGGTTCTGGATAGTTTGGACTAGTTATTGTAATTTTTTGTTCTCCGTTTTCATTTATTGTAAATACACCACCACAACCAACGTTAAATGTCTCATAATAGAAGAGAAACCCTTTATTTGTTGGAGAACCACTTGTACCTTAAAAAATAATTTGTGCTAAAACACTCAGAAATGGGGGTCCAAAAAATTCTTTGGATATTCGAACCCAAACCAGAAACCCCATTCGATTCTTTAAAAACAGAACTATATGTAATGGAGAACGGTCTTATTCCACTAGTCACAATTTCTCCTCCTGGCGCCACAAAAGGGTAACGAGGACAAATATAACGTTTATTCGCCACTTCATTAGATGAATGGCCTCCAGAAAGCTTTAAAATAAAAAAAGGATAATTCTGGATTTTAATTAAATACTTCAACATAATCTTGAATTTGTGGATTATTTTGACGAAAATTATAGAAACAAGAACCAAAACTTGTAGTAAATCCAATTTTGTCAAAGCGTAAACGAATAGCCTTTTTTTTGAAATTAAAATTAAATTTAATTGCTAATTTATTTTTATTTTACCTGACTTGGCTTTGCAATAATTCTATAAGTACATTTAAAGGGTTGGGATGATGGGCCGGGATAGTTTGGTGGAGATATTGTGCCGTTCGGCAAAGTAAAATCTTTTTGACAAACTTAAAAGTTTAATATAAGAATTATAAGTAATATTTTTATTTTAAAAAAATTTTGATATTTTATCTTTTAACTAAAATATGGCTTTATTAAGTATCGTATTTTCTCGATTAATTTCCCTAGGGAATTAATATTTCAACTCATACGTGGGATGGGGAATTATTCGAGGGAGGGGAAGTATTCGAGTTTTGGCATTTGAACGTGTAGTAGGGTAATTGGTGGTGGAAAATTATTGTTTGAACCCAACTCTAGCACGGGGAATTAATCGCGAGTGAGGAATGAACAGAGAAAATACGGTAATTCATAATTATCTGATTTTTTTGATTTTTAAAATAAAAATTATTTTATTATAATTAAAAAACTAACCAGAACGATAACGTATAGAAAATCCAGATCCACCAATTGAAGAATCAGAGTGGAATTTTAAAGAAAGATAAGGAGCTACAATAGGCAAATTTAGTGAAGGCTTTTGCATATTGCAATAAGTTAATTCTTTCTCAACAATTTGTAGAGAATCTCCAATACAGGAATTTATTGTTACATGGCGAAGGAGGGGATTTGAATACTTTTTTTAATTAAAAAGAAATGAGAGGATTTTAATTTTAATTAAAATATTTATTAATTCCTCATTATGGGAAGGAATTGAAAAAATAATTTCTTAAGAGAGTAAAGCAGCTGGGCTATATGTACTATAGCCGCTATAGCTATTTCTCTCTTTTAGCTAGTTCAAAAGGTTATTCGGCGGCTGGGAGCGAACCAGCATCTTCAGTAGACCAGACTGATGTATTAACCATTACTGCATAGCCTTAGGATTAAACAGCTATGTATATGCTTTACAGGAGTGAACAAATTTTGGATTTTGGTTGAATTTATTTAAAATAATTTTTAGAATAATTTTTAATTAATTTATTTTCAACTTTTTCAATTTCACATAAATTTCTAGAACATATCCTACACAGTAAATACCTGAGTAACAGTTGTAGGCACATCAAAATGTTTAAAGAAAATCTCCACTTTTTGATCTACCAAATAAGGATCCCCATCATTCCCCTCATTATTATTTATTAATTTATTATTTTCATCATTATCCTCTGTATTATTATTTGATATAATTTTTGGTTGTATAATCCAAAGACAATCCAAATTAGGAAAATAAATATGTGGATAATTGGGTGATTGAAGTAATGAGGAAGATTCTTCTGCTTGTATTTTGCCCCCACAACCAGTTGGCACTTTTTAAAAATTAAAAAATAATTTTTAAAATAATTTATTTATATTTTACATTCAATTGTTTTGTAAACAATAGTGAAACCAATAGATGTGCAGGAAGTTCCACCTTTAATTTTAAATAATTTCTTTTAATTACAAAATTAATAAAGGTTAGAAATATTTTCTTCTAAAAATTTTAATTTTATTTTGCTAACATTTTTTATTAAAAAATTGTTGTTGTTGCCCATCTATTCGAAGGTAAATAGTAGCAAAAGGACCGGATGTTCGTACAATTGTTGGAGCTTCCTTAGTTGGCAAAGAAGAGCATTTTTGAGAGGAAAGTGTTTTGTTTGATGGCATTTGACTGTCAAATATCTGGAAATTATTTAGAATACTCTTTTAGGATGTTTAAATGGCATCTAAATTAAAATAATTAATTGCCTCGAAAATGTTTGACGAACAATTGACAGTCTCTGCACTAGGTAATCGAAGAACTTGAAGACTCAACTCGATATGGAATTGAGGTGGAACATTTACATACCTTTATTTAAATTGAATAATATGAATATACATTTAATTACCAAATACAGGCTTTATCCCCCAACAATTCTTCCTCGTCACCTCGAGAGCTTTCCAAATAATAATCAATCCTTCCCCCATTGGGGCTGGAAAACCTGCCACCACAACCTGAAATAATTTTATAAAGGAATTTAAATTTAAGATTTTAAGGATTAAATTATACTTGGCATTTTAGCTGTCCAATTGAGATGTAAAAAAGTACTTCGACCTTGAATTCGACTACTTAAACGAATGACTGCTTTATTAGTTGAAGTAAAAAGTGGATGTTTAAATGGCATCTAATTTTTTTTTAAATTAATTTTTTCATTAATTTTTAACTACTTCAAAATCCTCTCCATGGCACATATTTACGATTTGTGTAGAAGCTAGTGTGGGACTTTGCAATGGATCAGCGCCATCAAAAATAGTTAAGGTAACAAAAGCGTTCTCACATCCCTTTAAATAAATTTAAAAAATCAACACCCTCAAACTATAAAACCACCTTTGATGTAACTTCAAATAAATGAGGAGCAGTGAGATTGAGAAAGTTTATTTGTAAAACCTGAGTAATAAAATAAATTTTTAGCTATATATTTTTTAATTGTTTAATTTATTATTTCTAGAATAACCACAAATTTTTTTTATTAATTTAAAGAATTATAATTACTTTTCTGGTGTCAAACATTTCTATATGCCAAGTACAAGTCCATCTATCGAACAATGGACTAGGGGCAGTCCGTTCATAAATTAATTCTCCCGTCTCATTCGAAGTGTGAAAACCACATCCTTTTAATAATAAAATATTTATTAATCGCTCCCAATTATCCCCAATTTTACTCATTAATGCCCTACCCTCTATTAACTCTCAATTTCAAACATAAATACATCAGCTAACTTTATTTACCGTCTTCCTGAAACTGACAACGTGGCCCATAAAAGCCTTTAAAGCAAATACACTCCAAAGGATCTTTTTGGCACCGTCCATGGCCAGAACAAAATTGTCGTGAAAGACAAGGGTTTGGGTGTTCACAACGACCCCCATAATGTGTTTCTGGACATAAACACCTAAATTTTGTTGAAGAAATTGCCTAAAATAATTATAATTTAATTGAGGCAATATTTTTTAAAAAATTACTTGACAAGTCCCTCCATTTAAACAATATTTATTATATTTTAAACACAAATTTTCTTCATCTGTTCCATTTATTTTTGGATTTTCACAACCATCTGGCCCAATTCCATCTCCAATCATTCCCATAGGGCAAACACAACGAAATTCAGGTTCATTAACGCATTTAGCTAATGGAGAACAACCTCCATTAATTAATTGGGGATTATTGCAAACATCAATTTTTTGACAAATTTGGCCTTGCTTCTCTCCTTTTGAAAAATATCCAGATGGACATTCTCCACATTTATAACTTCCATGAATGTTTATACATTCAACTGGTGGTTGTTTAGAACATTCGTTTGTTAAATCATTTGCACATTCATCAAAATCCAAACAATGTAAACCATTGCCTGATATAAAGAAATAGATTTAGGCTCATTATTGAAGAATGTTATTTTAAAAGAGAGCTTGCTCTCTTAATTGTTCATATTAATTAATAAACATACCAATTAATCCAGACGGACATTCACCACATTTAAAAGATCCAGGCAAATTTATACACCCAAAATATTTTTATTTAAATTAAAAACACAAAAAGCTAGCTCACTCTGTTCCCGGATAACATGGATTATTTAAAGCACATTCATCTATATCCACACAAATTGGATTTGATGGATCTCCCCCTTGTTTAAACCCCGGCTCACAAATACATCGATATCCAATCTATTTAAAATTAAAAATATTTTTTAAAATTTTCTATCAATTTTTATTTACGGCAGACTGACTGCTCCGACTTGGAATACAATGCCCGTTAGTACCACAAATATCATCGGCACCATCGCAAGTATTCTCTTTATGTTCACAAAGAAGTCCATGCCATCCAGATGTACAATTACAAGTAAACCCGGATATTTTCTATATTAAATAGAAAATAATTTTTGTTGCAAGTAAAATATAAATACAGGATTGTTGGTACATTTTGCCCCATTTTGGCAGCCAATTACTGTCCCAGTATACATGGCACATTCATCAACACGTATTTCACAATGCTTTCCCTATTGGAGGATTATGAAAGGGATTTTTAATATAAAATACCTGAAAATGTGCGGGACAAAGACATTGGAATTTACCAAATCCATCAATACAAGTCCCTATAAAAAATATTTTATCCTGCTCTATTTCCTCTAATAAATACACCTCCATTTTTACAATTATCAGCACCACCTATTAAACATTCATCTGTAGCCATAAGTTTGAAAAGACGCTCTATTTGCTTTGTAAGCTTTAAAATAAGTAAACGAGCCCGTCTGTTGGTACGAGCCCTTTGATAAGTGTCATTTGCTTGGGCCGAAATTTGTTTGGTTAATAATGAATGCTTTTAAAAAATAACTATTGGAATTTTTAACTACTAATCCATTTAATACCTTTTGAAGTAATTCATTTATTTTGTTTTGCCACCTAATAGAAAAATAAAATTTTGAATTTAATTTTTGATTCAAAAATGGGAATATTAATCAACAATAATTTAAAAATATTTTTTTAATTTTAACTCTAAATTAGATGTTTGTAAAGTATTCTCGAATCCAAGCATACGTTCTTGAGCATTTAAAAGTAAATTACGAACTGCACCAACTTCTGTCTATAAAATTATTTGAGAATTAAATTATACCCATTTCTCGACATATTTAAATATTATTTTTTTCAAAAATTATTTTCCTTCAGAAAATTTTTTTAAATAATTATTATTTCAGTTAAATAACCGAATTAGGTAAATTCATTATATTTGTATTTCCAAATTGTATATTGGAGCCAGTTGATACAATAAAAGAAATATTTCTTTCAGACCCAGCAACAAAATAAATATTCCCGTCAACCATTATAATTCTAGATCTATTTAATTTTTAATTAAAAAAATTTTTTTCTTAATTTACGAAAACCTAGTTTCATCTTTATTTGTTAATTCAAGAATTTCTTCTTCTTGAAAAGTACATATTATTGGAAATATTAAAAGGGAGAATAAATAAATAAAAATTTTAATTAAATTTAAATAAATTAACATTCTCTTCATTTTTTATTTTAATAAAATTTTGGATTATTTAAATTAATTTAAACATAATTATTTAACAAAAAATTTGAATTTAATTTTTAAAAAATATTAACATTTTGTAATTAAAAATATTTTTTGTTTTTATTTAAAATATTTTGAATGAAAAATAAATATAAATATATTATTGTATATATTTATAAATTAATGGTTTTATAAACAAATCCAAAGTTTTTAAATAAAACTATCATATTTCTTTTAAACAGAAATAAGACTAGAATTTTGACTTAAGCATATTTTAACAATATAAAGTATATATAAATTAGATCATGAAAACACTAAAAAATTATCAAAAAATTTTTGCGTGTTTCATCAAAAAAATATAGTAGAAGACCCCATTTAAATTTCCGTCACAGTATGTAAAGTTTTTTTGACTTAACCAGTTTTTTTGACTTAAATTTGATAGAAATCAAATTTATTTTTTTCTTCAAAGTTTAATTTAAAATTAAAATATTTTAAAAGAATTGCCGCTGCATGTACTGAAGAATATTCCTTAGATGATTTAACTTTACGTTATGTCTGTTCTCCTGTTGAATTACATCGGAAATTATCTTTAAATGGAAATTTTCAATTTATTTTTCGATGAATTAATTGTTTTGCTAATTAATCCATCGAATTAATTCATCAAAAAATATACTATATTAAACTAATTTTAATAATATAAAATAATTAATTTTACAAAATTAATTATGTACATTGTAACATAATTTTAAGAGACCCCCTATGTTAAATCATCTTTCGAGTTTTTCTTTTTGAATTGGCTGAGTTTTAAATACATGTGTAATAAAATAAATTATTTTGGCATTTAAATGTCCAAAAATGTCCAATCTAATTCCCTTTCCAAACTAAATCTTTAGATTCAAGTTTTTATCAAAAGTAGAATTCAAAATGTCTGTATTTTATAAGAGGAACAATTGAATACAATTAGTTTTTTTGACTTTTTCTTTAACTTTTTCTCTAAAAGATTTTTTATTATTAGGTTATTTTAAGCAATAAAATTATTGATATTGAATTTAAGATATAAAGTTCTAGTCAAGTACCGTATTATCTCTAATAGAATGCCCGGGCATTCTATTTTTCAATCACCTTCCAAAGGGGCATTCTATTGGAGAGGGGCATTCAAATGGAGGGGGGCATTGTATTTTTCGATGAGTAAATTTTAAAGTTTGAAAAATTTTTTAAAGACTGTAAGTTTTTTTTTAATTTTTTAAAGACTGTAAAAAAATTTTAAAGACTGTAAGTCTCATTTTGTCGTGTCCTGTTGATAACACTGTAACCTAGGAGTGTTTAAGTTAAAAAACATTTTCTATTAAAAACGGAAACATCCTTAGCACCTCGCTTTTCAACCGAATTCCCACCGGTGTCCAACCAAACAGATGTCTCATCACAGCCATAAATTCTGTTACCAAAATGTTTCTTCATACGGAGTTGTCGAACATACATTAAGAATTGGACAATTGTTTCCTCATATTGGACAGGAGGTTTTTGACACGCGGGAAATTTTTAGTGGGAAATTTTTCTGTGAAATTTTTAGAAAAATCTAAGAAATTTTTCCAGAAAACCTAGGCTTGGCTTGAATTTATAAATATAAATATTTATCTATTTCTAATACTGTTTCTAAATTAGAACCAGGCAAACTCTTTTTAAATTAGAATGGGATGTATCCGTAATGACCTCTTAAAACTCTAAATTTTTGACTTGGTGAATGTAACAAATTAGCCTTCATATTCATTGCATCAAGTTTTAATTTTAATGAATAGGAACGTCGATATTTTTGGGGTTTACTTGGACTAGACTTATTAACAGAATCACTTATATTTAATACATAACATCTGAATAGTCATTTCACTAAACTAGAAGGTTCGAAGAAGATAAGAATTAAAAATAATTTCCATGTTGTTTAAATAATGATTTAAAAATGGCAAGAAAAATAAGTAAAAGTCAATAGTAAACGTTTTAAATATATGTAGTAATTAATCTTTTTATATTTAGAAAAATTTCAGTAAAAAAAGGGGGGGGGGCATTCTATTAGAGGGGGGCATTCAAATGGAGAGAGGCATTCTAATAGAGATAATACGGTAAATTGATTTAAAAAAATTTATCTAAACAGAAAAATCTGATTTAAAAAATTGATTTAAAAAAATTTTAAAAAATCTGAAAAAATTTTTTAAAAAAATTTTAAAAAATCTGATTTAAAAAATTGATTTAAAAAAATTTATCTAAACAGAAAAATCTGTTTAGATAAATTTTTTTAAATCAATTTACCGTATTATCTCTATTAGAATGCCTCTCTCCATTTGAATGCCCCCCTCTAATAGAATGCCCCCCCCCTACAGTTAAAAAATTAAAAATATTTTGTGTTCAAAACTTTTTTTTTTTCAATTTATTTTTAAAATTTTAGAACTTTTTCCAATTTCATTTTCTTCTTCTCTCTTTCTTTTTTTAATATTTTCATTAAATATTTCAAAATTATAAACATCAAAATTAAATAAGGGTATTAACTCAAAAATATAAATCTTTTCAGATTTTTCTTCTTCTTCTGCTTTACTTGTATAAATTGTCACAACTTTTCTTGAACTTTCTAAAATTCTTTCCTCAACTTCATTTAATACATTAAACTCATTAGAAACACATTCTACTTTATTTTCTTCTTCAATTTTAACAAAAAATTGAATTTCTTCTTCCTCTTCTTCATTAAAAAAATGAATAAAAAAATTTCCTTTTTCTTTAAATTTTATACAAATTTGTATATAGTAGTAATATTTTGCAATTTGTCCAGATACTTCTTTTTTCATTATTGCATTTAAAATATTTTTATTTTTTCCCTACATATTTTTATAATGTATTTCCTCTAAAATATTTTTATTTTTCGACACTGTTTTTTGATAAAATATTTTTATATAACAAACTTTAGAAAATTAAAAATAGGAATTTTTCTGAGTTTAATTTTATATTCAAAGTAGGGTAGCACCCCGAGCCTTCGGAGTCGGGTGTGTCGGGGTCTATGGATTTCCATATTTTTTTCCTGATCTAGTTGGGTTCTGAAACGTCCAAGAAACATAGTTTTAGAATATGTTGATAAGACCGATAACAAGTTATCAATCCATGTTTTCCATATTTTTCCATATTTTGGTGTTTTGTCCATATTTGATCATTTTTTATAAAATTTTGCCAAAAATTGGTCAAAATTTTAAAATTTATGAAATTTTTTTGGTTTCCCTTATTGCTAAAAAGAGAGCCGATGACTCTGGAATGGCATATCTTTAAAAGTTATGTTTAATTTTAGAGGAAATACATTATTATATTTTGTTCTTTTAATTAATTCTTTAGGTCCTTCAGGATTCAAATAACGGATTAATCTTGTCAATTTGTGTTGTTTATCTCTCCATTCATTAAGATATGTATCTATTCCATTTACATTTATAATTTTTATTTCCTCTTCACCAGTCCCATTTACTTCTATATTAGCATAAAAAATTGGTTTAATTGCTACCATTGTCTTTAAATTAATTAATTTACTTTTATATATTTTTTACTTTTGTTGAGTTTACCCAGCCCCCTTTATTTTTAAAAATAAGACCATTTATTTTTCTGAAATTTTTAAAAATTGGCTATAACTTTTAGAAATTTCGATGAATAGAGTAGGGAATAGTCCCAAACCCAGTGGGCGTGGTCCCGAAAATGAAGAAATGTTTTGGAACCATACCCCCAACTTTGCAACACCAAGAAAAATCCAATTTTCTTTTGATTGGACGAATAAACTTTCATTGGACGTATACTTTTCCGCGCACTGAAAAGTCAAATTATGTTTTCTTTTGCAGATTATTATCATTTGATAGCTAATAGATAAAGCTACAAGTTAATTAATAAAGACTATTTTTTCCCTATTTAAATTCCGCCACTCTAAGTCGAAGAAGATTTAAATTTTAAAGAAATAAAATTTACAATTCCCCTTTGATTTCTTTCTTTTAAACAAATATCTAATCCACTTCTATAAGAGTCATTCTCATGATCATCTACAAACAATTCTTTAATTCTAATTATTTTTATTTCCGAGCCATCAATTAATTTTTTAATATTGATATTTTTCTTTTTGTAATATTTTTTTCCATTTCCACTGCAAATACCTAAGAAATTATTTTTTACAAAATACATAGTATATTTGCTAAATTTTATTTTAGTTTAGTTATTTTGATTAAGAAATTTGCCCTAGAAAATTGTAAAACGGTTGCATTTTTAGATACATATGTATCATCAAAATTAGATACTCATTAATTTGAGATGTTATTTTTTAATTTGGTTGGCCATTAAATAGTAACTAACTAAATAGGGAAATTCGAGATACATTTTGTTATAATTACAATAAAGTAAAAGAAAATCAATGTTGTATTTGCCAGTGCCGATGTTTGGCACATTATTTTTCGAATCCAATTTTTTTGAACTAAGCCTATTAGCAACTAAAAATTTATGTGAAAATTACATATATTACCTTTAAATGCTATATAAATTAAATGATTATTATTTAATTCAAAATTTATTTCAATATCAATTTCTAGTAAATTATCCATTACTTCCCCATATTCATTAATTAAATTAATATTATTTTGATTCATTTTTGTAATTTCCATTTTTAACACTTCAATAAATAAATTTCCATCTTTTTTTATATTTCTTTTTGAATTTTCAATTAATATATTTTGGTTAGGTTTAATAATATTTTTTGAATAATAATTGGGAAATATTAATAAAAATAATTTAATTAAAATAATTATTTTTAAATACATTTTTTAAATAAAAAAAAGAATTAATACTAATCTTAATTAATTTTAATTTATTAGCATTATCATATACCGTATTTATTCTAATATAACGACATGTCGTTTTAATTTTCAACCCTCTTATAAATAGAGTGTTATTATATTAGAGACTGTCGTCTCTAATATATTTTTTTTATATTAGAGACTTTTTTTTAATAAATTTCCTAAGAAAATATTTGAAATAAATTTTATGCTTAAGAAAAGTACGGGAACTTTTGCCGCACCCTGTACTTCTTAATTCTTGCATAAATCAACGAAAATAGACCGAGAGCGTGTTATTTTCGAACCATTTTTTCTTTAAAGAAATTTTGTTACTAAAATCCTGTACTCCGACCCGTACCCCGAACATATTTTGCTCCCCCGACCCGAACCCCGACATACCCGCCCCCGAGCGTTTGGGGCCCAACCCTCGTATAAAGTGATAGCTGGGGTTTGATGGATTTAAGGGATATCGTTGGATTTGAAGAGTTTTATTTTTCGTTTTATTTTTCAACATCTTCTAGAGTGTCGTTTTATTAGAGACTGTCATTAAATAGAGACTGTCTTTATATTAGAATAAATACGGTAAGTCGCTTTGCGTCTAATGACGAAAATAACAGTGAGAAAAGGAGAGGCAAAAACGCGAGTAAATCTTCTCCACTTTTGCCTATCATTATTACATACATTATATGTAATAATTGTGCATACACTGTGTTTCATAATTATAACCCACTTTTATTTTTTTTGATTTTTTCGATGTTCATTCGAGAAATCTTTTCGAAATTTGGCATATCGAAATATTTAAATACTGTAAATAAAAGTATTTCCAATATACTATACCAATTTTTGTTTACTACAAAATTTTTGTTTTTCTAATATTTTCACTAAAATAGTTGTTTCATAATTATATCCCACTTTTATTTTTCATATATTTATAAGAATATGTAGGAAAAATCTGCAAAAATTCCACCAAACATATACTGTAAATATACTAATATAAGCCATGGGCTTATATTTTTCAATGGGTCTGATATCACCTCTGATATCACTACAAATACTTTGATATCCACTTGCTCCATTATATTTTCTGATATTCTTTAGGAGGTAAGAATATATCGGGTGATTAATTAAAAGAAAGTGTGTGGATATTATTAAGTGTTAGGTGGGGATATCTTGCTGTTAGTTTTTGGAGACAATGAAAATAAAATTTAAAAAATTTAATAAATATTGAGCTGATAGAAATAGATTAAGTTATTAAAAAAATAGAATTTCATAAAAAAATAAAATTAAAATACATATAAAAATCATTGAAAATAAAATCATTGAAAATAAAATTTTAATAATTAAAGAAATCATACGCGAGTGGGGTGTCATATCATATTTTTTGAACAGACGGCTGCATATGACACGGCGTCATATGTGGCCGTCACATCCACGTGTCATATGCGGCATATGATATCAATTTAAACAGCTACATAAGACGCGTCATAAATATGACATGCCATACATGACATGACATGTCACACATATCAAAATATGAGATGTCACATCAGAAACTTTATAAGATTTGCCTGGCCCTTGTAATACCGCCATCTTCTTTGAGACGAAAAATAAGATTATTCTCAGATCCACTAGGATCATTTGTTATGTCTTAATTTGGGATTTTATAGAAAATAACACGTGTCTTGAATGATTTTTTATCAATTCATTGGGTAAACCTTCCCAATCATTAACTATCCATTCCAGGTTGCCGATTTTAAATTTATTAAAAAATAAAAATTTGAAAATCTTTACAAAATGTTAGAAATAAGAATTTTAACTTAATTTTCCTTTTTCTTTTTAAAAATTAATAAATAGAATCTAAAAAAGAATTCTAGAAAACAAGCAATAACTTTAATTCCTCCCATAAAGTCTAGCATATTCTGTCGGGTTTTCAACCCAAAGTTTAACGTCTGAGTTTGTTGTAGCTGCATTTTGAAGTAATGGGCGCTCCTTAATTTAGAAATTTGATAATAATAAATTGTTTAAATAAAGCAAAATAAATTTTTAAATTTATTTGAGTTGCAAATTTTTTTAGAAAAAATAAGGTCTTTGAATAGAAATTCAAATTTTTGAATTTAAAAATGAGATGAATTTAGATAAACTGAAGCCAGCAGCCTTTTAAAATTCATGAATTTGTCGCCTGCGACGTTAAAAACTGACTTGAACATTTTCGAAATTACCCCCGGACCGAAAATTTTCTTTAACTACGTGTCTTATTTCATCAATTTATTTTTTCAGAATTTTTGAATAAAAGAACCCTACCAGAAAAATTTTTAAAATTATAATAAAATTTCAAAAATATACCAATAATTCACGAAATTTTGGTCTCAACTCCATATCCTTTTGAAGACAATCAGCAATAAACCCACAAAATTCAGGAGAAAGTCCATCTTTTTCTGGAGTTAAACGAGGCGCATTTTTTTCTTTTATTTCAATCATAAGTTTAAAAGCTTCTCTATTTTCATAAGGAAATTTTCCTGTGGCTAGTTCGACAAGAGTAATTCCAAGAGACCTTTTGAAAAATTAAAATAATTTTAATAAAAGTTTAGGGTAAAAAATTTGCGTGAAAAAATTATGTAATTAAAGACATCCTCAAATTCATTTGTTAAAAATTCAAAAATGTTTTTACAAATTTATTTACCAAACATCAGCACGAACATCATAATGAGGATCATCAGAATAAATTCTCTCGGGTGACAAATAACCCATACAACCAATTTTTGTAATTGCTAAATTTAATTTATTTTTTAAAATTTAAATTTAAAAACCTTTTGATTCAATTAATTTTCCTGAGATTCCAAAATCACAAAGTTTAAAATTACCATAATAATCCATCAAAATATTAGAAGGCTTGATATCCCGATGCATAATTTTCTTTAAAAAATGAAACATAAAGATTATAAATTAAATTTAGAAAGGAAAGAAAAATCTGTAAAAATTTATAATCCTTAATCATTGAAAAGAGTAACTTTTAAATAAAATAATGGAAAACCCCCCAAATTTATTTTCAAAAACCCTCACATGTTTTTCCTTCAAATAATCAAGAGCACGGACAACACTCAAAGCAATTTGAGAAATAATTCCTTCTGGAAGACCAACTTGATCAGGTGGACGAGATTTTTGTCTACTAGTTAAAAGTTTGTCAAGGCAGGTAGACATAACTTCCATACAAATATACAGATAATCCTTTTTAAAAATATTTTTAATTATTTATTGTAATAATTATTAAAAAATAAATATTTAAGAAATAAATGAACACATGAAGAGATACAAATTTTTGGCGTTTGATTTTTCTAAACCCCCCCCCGGTTACGGCCCTGAAACAAAATATAAAATTAGAAAACTTAAACAAATTTTAGAAATGTCCGAGGAGAAAACTTAAAAATTGCGATAAAATTCTATGAGTAAAATGAATTTATAAAAAATAAACTTACAAAAGTTAAAATATATCCAAAATATTTTACAATAAAAGGACAATCCCCACATTTTGATATTACTTCCAAATCCATAAATATTCTTTTGGAATCATCGAAGGAATCTGTCCGTTTCATATGCTAAAATTAAATAAAAAAGAAAAGTCAAACGAGGCTGAAAGGAAAACAAATTTATTTTAGGGCTTTTTAGCCTCAAAAATATTAGCAAATTAAAAATATTTCGAACAAACCTTAACAGCAATTGCTCTACTTTTAAATTTATATTTGCTAACACTTCCACTTGTACCTTCACCAAGAGAACTCTAAAAATATAATCGGTCTGGATTCACGGCGGGCCAAACGGGACATTGGGGGTCGAAAAATAGTGTGTTATTTTTAAGAGAGACATTATTAGAGGTCGGCAAAATCGCACTTCCGGGATCCCGAGTAGGGATTTTTTTCTTAACCGAGGCCGAGACGGGATCCCGAGGGATAAATCCCGAAAAAATCCCAAATTTCAAAAATCCCGAAAATAATTATCCGGGATCCCGACCGGGATTCAAGATTTTTTTTAAATAAAAAATTTAAAATTTTTATAAATAAAGAGCATCAAAATACTGCAATTTATATGTAAATAATATTAAATTTGTAAAAATCTAATAGATTTAGAGGGATATCGGTGGATTAATCACTAGGTCCCTTGATAAAATCCCACTATATACTAATCCATCCTAATCCATCCACTATATACTATACTAATCCTCCCACTATATACTAATACCTCCAAATTTCTCCGTTTGCAGCGCCGCAGGCGAATATTTTGAAAATTTTGGAGCACATAAAGCCAGATTTCTTCCATTTTCGGCGCCGCAGGCGAAAATTTTAAAAATTTCAAAGGCCGTATGCGAAATAATTCACTTTTTCAGCGCCGCAGGCAAAAATTTTGAAAATTTTGGAGTTCCTTAAGCTAGATTTCTTCAAATTTTGCGTCGCAGGCAAAAATTTTGAGAATCACTAGAGTAAGACAAACTTGGGATTATGGTAATTTAAAAATCCCAAAAATTATAAAATAGTGTCCGGGATCCCGAGTCGGGATTTTATTTTTTAACCGATGCCGGGACGGGATCCCGAGGGATAAATCCCGAAAAAATCCCGGATCCCGAATGATCCCGAAAATCAAAAAAATCCGGGATTTCGGGATCCCGGAAAATCCCGTCGGGATCCCGTCCCGCGCCGACCTCTAGAGTCTAGACATTATACATTATTTTTTTGACTTTATTTGCGGTTGTTTCAGTGCCAATAAATAATAGACGGTTGAGTGCCAATTCATTGCAGAGTTTGAGTGTCAACGAGAGAGACTCTCACTCATTAGTTTAATCCTCATATCTCTTAACCCTCCCACCCGATTTTTTTCAAATTTTGTATTTATGTAGGCCAAAGATAGTTAGTTAACCGCTCATGCAAATTTTGAGAAGCTAATACGGATTTTTGGCGAAGTTATGGATTTTTGAAAATCGGTAAAAATTGTATATTTTTGGTCATAACTTAGCCCAAAATGCTCCAATCACGTTAATTTTTTTAAACTACTCAATCGATGAGTTCCTTCAAATAAACTTAAAAATCAAGGATTTTCGGGGGCATCTGAAAATTTCGCAAAATTGTTAACGCGGAAATTTTATGAAAAATGTGTGAATTTTTCTAATGTTTTTTTCAAATGATTGGTAATCCTTAAGATCATTGGTCCCTAGGAAAAAATGCTAAAAAACTGCTCTTTCGATGTTTTAAAAGCTTGCCGGTAGGTAATCGAGTGTGCTGACATGAGTCTGAATCTGTGCTTAGAATTTGTTTATTTCGAACCCCGAACCCGAATTCGACCAAGTCGAATATGGGGCAAAAATTCGAAATTATTGGGATAGTGCTATTCTGACGCATCTCTTCAAGCTGTGTCGAAAAATATCAAAATCAATGTGTTTCGACAAATTTAGAATGAGTTATGATCAATTAAATACACGCTTGGTTAGACTTTCCTATATAAATCAAACACCATAACTTAGTCTAAAGAAGTCGAAACGTAATAATTTTGATGTCTTACGACTCAGCTCGAAGTGACAGTCGGATTAAACATAAATTTTGTAATTTTCGAATTTTTGCCCCATATTTGACTTGGTCGAATTCGAGTTCGGGATTCGAAATAATCAAATTCTAAACTAATTGTAAGATTCAGACTCAGCACACTCGATTACCTACCGGCAAGCCTTAAAATTATCGAAAAAGCACTTTTTTAGCATTTTTTCCTAGGGACCAATGATCTTAAGGATTGCCAAATGATTTTTTAAAGTATATTCTAACATATTGTTAGACAAAATCAAAATCTGTTAGGAAAAAGCGGAGATATGGCCTTTCAAAGTTGATCAACTCGGATTTTGAAAAAAAATAGTGTGGAAAAATAAGAGAGCGGGAAAATGAAAAAAAAAGCGAGTGTTTTGAGCGATTCTCATCGAAATTTTTCCTCGTTGCAAGACAGTTAGAGTCCCCTATGGCCCGCCGTGTGGATTTTATTAAAATTAAAAAAAACCTGATCTTGGCGTTCCAAATCTTCATATTTAACTCCAGTAAATATTTTATTACCAAAATTTAAAGTTCCCGAATTTTCCTCAATTATTTTGAATCGACTTTGAACCTAAAAAATATTTTTAATTAAATAAACAAAAAATTAGAAAAACCTCTTCTGGGCTAATACTCTTATCACTAGAAGTCGAGACAGCATCCAATGTTGGACGTGGACGTGAAGGACCAGAAAGATTCACTTTTAAATTATTTAAATAAATTCCATTTTAAATTAATTTTTAATTTGAATCAAAGGTGTATCGATAAATTAATCGATATATTACCAAAAAATTAAAAAAATCAATAACATAATTCCGGGCTCGGTAATAGTGACATTTCCAGCCCCCCTTTCCCCCTAAGTTTTTTTCCTATAATTAGTATAGAATGGACAGACTCCTTTCTTAAATCACAATTAACTTCCTTTATTTCTAAAGAACAGGACAAAAAAATATTTTTGATCGTTTCTAGGCAAAATATAATAAGGCAATTTTGATCAAAGGAGAATTCTTCCAATTTTGTACAAATTATAGGAAAAAACTTGAAGAGGAAAAAAGGGGGCTGAAAACACCACTATTACCCCTGGATCTACTTTTAAAAAAATTAAAATATTTTTAATAAAACCTACGATAAAAAATTTGGAACTTATTTACTTTAACTACCCACCCCAAAATTTTGCCGAGGGATTTTTCATTTAGATATGGACAATATATACGTCAATCGAAAGAGCTCGACGAGCTGAAGCGGATGTTATCAAAATCAGCTTGATTTGATGATTTTGAACAAAATTACTAGTAACTGAATTTTCGCTGGAATGACTGCTTGTGTGCGGCTAGGGGGTAGGTCCGAATTTCAAGGCTGAAAATCGGTAAAAAGGTATACGTTTGTGTTACTAATGTAGAACTCAATGACAGTTAACTCCCCACGAGTCGTGTACTGCAAAGTACTCGCGAAACGCACAGTTTTATACAAGGTTTGCTTTGACCATTTTGAGCCCATTTGTCTCAGCTCAGTCTTGAGAACGCGGCCTTATTTTTGTGTCATTCGATTCAGCTCGTCGAGCTTTTTCAAATGATATATAAATTGTCCATATACAAAATATATCCGGTAAAATTTTGGGGTGGGTAGTTAAAGTAAATAAGTCCCAAAAATTTCTTGAAATTAATAAAACTTCAAATACTAAAAGAAACTATACAAAAACCCCAAACAAATATCAGCCCCAAAATTAAAATATAAACTTACTGTATAAATGTTTTCTCGAAATTGGGCAAGTAAGACTTCCAGAATTTTTATTTTTCTGACAATTTTTATTTATTCCCTCTTTAGGCTTTAATTGTTTTTCTGTTGGATCACAAGAAGTTGACCGTTGACTGCTTTTAGTTGTTGAAATATGTCGAAATAAACGCCAGTTTTTTACTTTTCTTTCAAAACCTAAAAATTTTGATAAAAATTTAATTTAAAAAATTAAAGAATTATAACACAAATTGAAAAAAATTTTTTTGGACAAATAAACACAGAATTAGTTAAAAAGAAAAAAATTTATAAAAAGCGATAAAAAATGCAAAAATTAAATAAACAAATGAAAAAGAGCAAAAAATCTTCTTTTTTTGTGATTAAAAAAAAGAGAATTTTTACAAAAAAAAGAAGTCCATTTATCAAAAAAGAAAAACCAACCACCAGCACAATTAAAATCAAAAAAGGCCCCTCAATTGTCTAAAGAATTTTTTTAAAAAATACCAATAAAACGTTGATGTATTGGAGAAACTAATGAAGTAAAATAATAATTTGTGCTAGAGGTTGGTGTTTGAATATTAGAATTATTAGTTGATGGTGAACGTGGAGTTGAGGGAAATGAAGAAATGAGGGAAGTTAATGATGGAATTGGAGGAGGGGGAGGGGGTAATATTTGGAGATTTGGGGGGTTTGGGTTTTGATTGTTATCCATTTTTCTTGTTAAAAATTTTTTTTTGTTTAAACAAAAGTTTAAAACTTCCTAGAAGTAAAAAATCGATGTTTAAAATTTAGTGAAAGAATAGGAAAATAAATTCCAAGCTTTTAGCTGGATTATACGAAGACACAACCAAATTTGGAAGTAACAAAGAAAGTATACCCAATTGATAGAGAAAAAACATTAGAAAAAAGAAAGGAAAAGTAGACAAAGGATTTTAAATAGAATTTTAATTAAAGTTGAGCCCTTTGAGTATCAAACCATAACTCGAGCAAAACTTGAAAGTTCTTGGAAAGCCAACTACTACGCTGATAAAATCCGATCATCCCCTAAAAAGATATAAATGGACAAATCCGAACAACAATTAAAACAACCGGCTAAGACCTATAATTGAGGATCGGAGTTGGGTAGACAAAAGATTTTAGAATAATTTAGTTGACCAGTTCAATAGGACAAAAAGCTTTCGCTTATCAGGAACTTTTAAATGCTAAATTCTAATGTAAAAAAGATGTAATGGCTGGACTCAAATAACGGGACTCGACTGACGAATAGTCGTTCCTCAAGTTGTGGCAAAATGTTTTTTTACAGGTTTTAGATATTTTGAAGTTTTAGAACTTTGAAATTAACAAATGAGAGAGTATAGGCTAGAGTTAAAAACAAAATGAAAGTGAAGGGGAATTAGAGTACGAAGATATCCGAGGGAAAAATTTTCTACAGAATTCTAAAAAATTCTAGGATTTTTTAGTATTTTGAAAGATTGCCCATTTAAATGTTGGCAAAAAATAATTTAGAATAAACGAAACAAAAATTTATATAATAATTCGAATTATCACAAAAATAAAATTAACCAATAGTTTATTTCCACGACATAAAATTGAAGTAAATATTTTTTTTATTTTTTTATTTATTTTTCTAAAAAATTTTATATAAATTTCATTTTATTTTTAAAAATAAAAGTAAAAATGAATTTATTTCTATTTATTTTCTTTATTTTTGTCTACAAATCTTTTGCCAATTATAACAGTGCAGATGATGTTGTTGAATTAACTGCCGGGAATTTTCATAAACTTGTTTTGGACGACGATGCGGTTGGTTTTAGAAAAATAATTATTAAAATTGAACTCTTTTAGATTTGGATTGTTGAATTTTATGCACCTTGGTGTGGACATTGTCAGGTTTTTTTGACTAAATATTTTTAAAATTTATTTGTAATTTGTAGAGGCTCGAACCTGAATACAAAAAAGTGGCTAAGGCATTAAAAGGGATTGTTAAAGTTGGCGCTGTTGATATGACACAGGTTTGGGAATTTTAATTTAGTTTTAATTTTAAAATTTCGTTACGAATTTGGACTAAATGAATAAATAAAAATCTGAAAATTAATCGAATCTAGGTTTAGAAATTTATTTTTTGTGAATCCATTAACTTTCTTTGAAGTTGAATCCATTAACTTTCTTTTCCTTCTTTTTTTAGCATGAATCGTTAGGAGCTCCATACAACGTCCAAGGCTTTCCAACAATTAAAATCTTTGGCGAAAACAAACAGGTTGGTTTTTATTTTCAAATTTGGGACGTATATTATTTCGAAAATCTTTGTACCACTCACGAATCAAAAAAATTTTTGTTTGCTTCTTTTATCAATTTTATTCATTTTCAGAGGCCCAGTGACTACAACGGACAGAGAACTGCATCAGCAATAACTGATTCTGCTGTTGGTGAAATCAAACGTGTCATTTCTGTTCGTCTCTCTGGTGGTGGCAGCAATTATAATCAAAAATCTTCAAAGAGCGGAGGTGCTTCTAATGCTGTTATTGAATTAACTGATGCAAACTTTGAAGTATTTTTTGTTTTTAATTTTTTAAAAATAATTTTTGATTTAAGGAACTTGTTATAAACAGTAAAGATCCGTGGATGGTTGAATTCTTTGCTCCTTGGTGCGGGCACTGCAAGGTTTTTTGTTAGTTTATTTCTGATTGAGCTGCCTTTTCAAATTCTGAATTTTCCTTTACTGATAAAATACAAAAAGGGAAATAGAGTTTTTACTGTTTTCCTTTTTTAAATCTGTCCAGGCCGGTAGCCAGTATTTTTAGGGAGGATCCAAGGGGGGTCTTCCTCCACTCACCCCCCCCCCCGGAAAACCAAGGGGAGTTCCCCCTGACTACGGGCCTGGAACTGCTAAGTGAATTTATTTCTAGAATAATGTTATCTTGATCTTTAAATAAATTATTTTTTAAAGAACCTCGAGCCTCATTGGCGCGCTGCTGCTTCTGAATTAAAAGGGAAAATGAAGGTTATTGTTTAATTTAAACTTTTTAAAAATATTTTTTTTTGTAAATAGATGGGCGCTCTAGATGCCACTGTCCATACAGTGATTGCCAACCGTTTCGAAGTTCGTGGTTTTCCTACAATTAAATTCTTCCCTGCTGGCGGAAAATCTTTCAGTGATGCTCTTGATTATGATGGCGGTCGAACGACGTATTTTATTTTTTCTTTTTTTTTTAAATTTTTTTTTTAAATTTAGAAGCGATATTGTTCAATGGGCAAATGATCGTGTTGCTGAACACTTGCCTCCACCTGAACTGAAACAAATTGTTAATTCGGAGACTTTTGAGGCTGCCTGTCAGGATATGCAACTGTTTGTTTTTTTAAATTTATTTCCCTAATTTTAATTGATTTCCTCTAATTTTTAATCGCTAATTTGTTTTATTCTTTTAGCTGTATAATTACTTTCCTTCCACACATTTTGGATTGCCAGTCAGAATGCCGGAACGGTTACCTGTCCCTTTTACGCGAATTGGCAGAAAAGTTCAAGAAAAGTCACTGGGGCTGGCTCTGGACAGAAGCTGGTCAACAACCCGGAATTGAACAATCTTTTGGAATTGGAGGTTTTGGTTACCCAGCAATGGTGGCTTTGAATTCGCGAAAGCTTAAATACAGCACTTTGACTGGTTTGTTTTTAATTTTTGTGTTTTTCTGGGCAACTTTTTGATAGGAGAGATTTTTAGAATCTCTCTGTAGGGGAACTTCCTTTCGTTTTAGAATACAATAATAGTTCGTAATTTTTAAAGGCTCATTCGGAAAAACTGGAATAGCTGAATTTTTGCGTGATCTTTCCTATGGAAAGGGAAAAACATCTTCAGTTCCCGGTGGTAAAAATGCCGATGTTGAAGTGGTTGAGCCCTGGGATGGAAAGGATGGAGAATTACCCGGTATTGATGCTGAAGAAGAAATTGACCTTTCTGATGTTGAATTGGAAGATTTGGATGTTTTGGCTGAAAAAGAAAAGAAGGAAGAGACAAAGAAAGATGACAAAAAGAAGAGTGAACTTTAATTGGTAATTTTATTTTGGTTAAGAATTAATTTCCTCGTTTTCTGTTTTTAATCTCCTTTTTAAATTTTTTGGTTTTTGCCTTCTAATCACCACAGGGTTTTTATTCGTTAACTAAAACTCTGTGGTTCTTTTTATTATTAGTATTTATTTCAGGGCTCTTAAGTATATAAATGTTATGCAATTCTATTATTGTTAAATAATATCCACATTTTCTTTAAAAAATATTTTTATTAAAATCTTAAATGTATTATTATTTACGAAGCTCGGAATTCCTTCAGTTTCTCAATTCCAACATTAGGAAATTATTGAAACAAGCAAAAGGTTCCTTTCGAAACGGCTAAACTAGTCGTATTTAAAGATTCGGTTTAGTTAAATTCTAATATTAAAAAGTATAACCTTCAATTAAAAGACATTAAATTTAGTTTTTATTAATCGAAATTTCAACAAAAAAATCCAAAAATATTTAGTAAGTTGTTTAGAAATTTAGTCAAAATCTTTTTCTAGGCCTTTCCCAAAAGAATGACCAAGTGATAAAAAATGAAAAGACACTAGAATTACTAAACTACCCGTATCCGTTGCATCCATAAATGTTCTAATTGAAACCCTGGACTTCTATTTTTAATGTCTCTGAGCGGACTTATATTAGAGAGTAGGTGTTTATAATCATTCATTTTTTCTTAAAATGAGCTTCAATTAGAGCGTTTACAGATTTTTTTTATTTTCTACATTTATTTTCTTCTCTCTTCAGTTTTCATTATTTTCTTTTTTTCCTCCGCTTTTTCATCAGGTTGATAAATACCTGAACGGTCTTTAACTCTAATAAATAAGCGGAAAATGACATTCTGACAAAATACTTGTTGTAATTGTTGAAGAACTGCATTCTCAATTTCCTCCATTCGATACCAAACTTGTCGAGCTTCACGTTCATTTTCACCTTAAAATGAAAAATAAGGAATATGTCCTTTTAGATTTTTGAAGTTTAATAAATAATAAAATCCTCATATCTCCCAATTAGAGATCGAGCTAGACCTGGACCAAAGCCTGGGTTTTTCCTGTACCTAGAGTCCAGGTCCAGGCATTTTTTGGCCTTCCTTCCTTTCCTTTTTTTCCTGGACTATAGACCCAGAATCAGGTCAATAAATCAAACTCCTGAGTCCAGGAACAGGTCCAGGCTTTTCAAAAATCTCGATCTCTAATCCCAATTCTATATGATTGTCTAGTCATAAGGCCAGCTTTAGCATAAATTTCAATTTTTCAAGGAAAAAATAAAAAAAAACTTACAGAAAATATTTGCAGCAACTTTAAGCATTTGTTCATTTACAGGAAGGTCTTCATCAAATTCCCACTCAGTAATTGATACTCGAAGTTTATAAGCTACATGAGGAGGGCAATTATTTAATAAAGCAGAACGGACATATTCAGCACAAAGTAAACGAGAATTCTTTTTGCTAACAGTTTGTGGGGCAAAACTCCATTGTTTATCAACAGAATTTTCTCTCAAATATTCTCTTAATATATCTATTCCTTCATTTGTTTGAGCACTAGTAAAGAAAACTGCCTTAAAATGTGGCCAGCCATTTTGTTCTTTAAATAATTTTTTTGTATCTGACCAACTAAAAAATGAATTAAGACGGCTTTAAATTTTAAATTTAAAAATTACCTAGCTTTATGTAAAGGTTTATGTAGTAATTTATTGTAGAGAGAATACCAATTAGAATCACGTTCTTTTGTTGTTAGTGGATGAAGACTGAGAGAATCATTATTGTCAGATCCTTTAGATTTTTTGGCTTTTGAAATTATTGAACCAACAATGCCTAGACTAATCTAAAAAAATTCTTCTTAAATATTAAAAACCCGGGTATTTTAAAGTAGGGTAGCACCCCGTTCTCTGAAACCGCGACTCTTTTTTGGCAAAAACCCCGACCCGAACCCCGAAGGCTTTACCCAAGGGGAACCCCTAAACCCGAGGGGGGCCTATTTTAAAGTAATAATGCCGTCAAAATTTAAATGGAAACCTAAAATGACATTAATTTATTAACTCAAAACCCTCAATTGTCCTCATAAGTGACCTTTATGAAAACCCAACCAAAACCCCAATTTAATCTCCACAAAAAAATTTTTAAAAAATTTACAGGTTTTTTCTCAAGTTTTTCTCCCCCAACAGTTCCATCAGTTAAAATTTCAGTCAATTTAAGTAAATCAGCACGGCTTTCAATTAAATCAATTTTATTAATAACTAGACAAGCAGGGATGTGCATATAACGTTGAAGAATGTAAAGAATTCTGTGTTGTAAATATTGACCTTTAGCTGTTGCATCCTTTTGATTTTTTTAATTAAAAAATAATCTTTTTTCCCTTACATGAACAACAATTATTTGTTCAGCTCTTTCAATTGCCTTTTCTGGATGTGTTAAAATTCGATCGTCTGAATGGGTGCCAATTACTTCTTTTGCATGACTTAAACTGACCAAACCTTTAAATTTTAATTTAAATAAATTTTCGAAGAAAGAGGGAAATCCCCTTTTAATTGCCCTTAATAATAATCTTAACCAAAAATCCTCCCTTAATTTTTACTTTAAATTTAAAAATTTACCAGGACTATCAACAATAATTAATTGACATTGATTTTCAGTTAGTGCTGCTGTTGTATTCTATTATATGTATTAAAAATATTTTTAAAAAATCAAGAAAAACCGCTCTAGTTGTATCAACCAATTTACTAACAGCACAAATAGGGGAGCGAATAAGAGCATTCTGAAAAATTAAAAAATTTTTTGTTTTCTAAAATATTTTTTATTTTTTCCCAAATAATTTTTGAATTAAAAAACATTTTTTAAAAACCGTTAAGGCAGACTTTCCAACATTTGAACATCCAATAATCGCTACTCTAAGACCTTTTCCATCAGTTTGAGTGGAAACATTGGCTGAATTTTCTTCTGATTTAATTTCTGTAGATGTTGAAAATAAATTTAAATTTATTTTATTTAATGTTGAAATTGGACAAAATAATCTTTTAAAAAATTAAAAAAAATAATTATTTTAAGTTTAATTTAATTACCTTCTCTGATATTTTGAATGAAATATAATTCGAAAGTTTTGATTAAAAATGGACATTTTCAAAAAAATAATTTTAAAAAATTAAATTAAATATTTAAATATAAAATTAAAATACAAATTTTTTTAAGTATAAACAAAAATAAATTTAAAAAGAAAATATTTTATTCAATTTTCACACCAATAAAAATAATCTTTTCGTTCGTAGTGCAAAGCAACTAAAGAGGCGATTAAGAAATAATAATATGTAATAAAATTAAATAATTATTTAAAAGATTTCGGTAAATTTTAATTTTCGTTTTCACGGATTAAAATATAAATAAAATTTTATTTTAAAAATAAGCAGACAAAAAATGTAATTTTTTAGCCTAATTTAAGAATCCTAATAATGGAACCGAATGTCCAAAAAATACAGGAACCATGCCGAGCCCTTTTAAAGAAAAAAAAATTAAAAATAAAAATTGCAACTAACAAAAAATAAATAAATCGAAAAAGGTTATTAGAAGTTTGAGAGGACAACCCTCGATTAATTAATAAATCTGCTTTGAATATTTCAAAAATCATGATGTGTTATTTTGTAAGGAAAAAATTTTAAAAATAAATAAGCGAGTGAATTCACCGAATATTTTTGATGGCTTTTTTAATAAAAGTATATTTAAAATAAATTTTTTTATAAGTAAAATGAGTCAAGAGTTTATATTAAAAAATAATTAATTTGTGAGAAGGCGCAAAACAAAAAATTTTTTAGTCGAGATTTGTTAAATAAATAAAAAGAGAATAATAGCTGGATAATTTTCTATTTATAATTTATTTTAATGTATATTTAGGAGAGATTTAAATTAATCTAAAATTCTGAGATTTTAATTAATTTTAAGTGTCTAGGAATAAATTAGGATAAATTCAAAAATTAAAATCTTTTTAATTAAAAAATTTTTTCAATCTCTACTAGACAAATGAGAGATTTTTAACAGAATAAGTAAAAGGTGTGAAAATGAAAAGAATTCTGAAGACTAAAAATAAAAATTTTTTTGTGACAATTAAAATATTTAAAAAAATAAAAATTTTCAAGTTATTTCTCAAATTCTTCTCTCAAATAATAAAATTCTATAAATATATTTATATATCGGGCAGCATAAAGGAATGAGGAAGCATTAAAAAAGACACACCAAAAATGTATATACAAGGCACATAGTACCATAAAAATTTGAAAAAATTCAATTTTCGTCCCTAACTAATTAATAATTCTTTAATTATTGCCTATTTACTTGATGAATCCACATTTGGCATAGAAAATGCTCGGAATTGACCCTCAACTGTTGCTACACCAAGAAGAACACGATATTGATGGAAACGCATTGCTGCAGGAATTGGTTGAATTTGTGTTTGTTGGTTTTGTAAAAGTTTATTATTTGAAGTACGGCCAGGAGAAAGCATATTTGTTGTATTTTGAGACCTTAAAAATAAAAAATAAATTATTTAATAAAATTATTAACGTAGTTCCATCAGCACTACTTCCACCACTACTACTTCTCCTTCTTGTATGTTTTAAAAATAAAGAAGAAAGTCCACCAATTGCAGATGACGGTGAATGAAAATAAGAACTGGCACCTCCGCCTGTTGATGAAGGATAGCGAATTTTGGATAAAACACCACCACGACCGGCAATATCAAAAATATAGACAGAAGAGTCTGCCATTGCACAAGCTACTAACTAAAAAAAGTATTTAAAGAGAAAAAACTCAAAATTACAATTTTTAGTAACCTTCTTAAATTAAAAATATTTTTTAAACGTTTTTTAGTTAAAAATATTTATAGAAAAAATTTTTTAATCAAAATTATTAAATTTAAAAAGAATTCCAGCTAGCCGGATTCGAACCAGCGACATCAGGATGACAGCTAACAACTACAGTCCCACGCTCTACCAACTGAGCTATAGCTGGACATACTTAAATTTCTCTATTTTTGTTTAACAAATAAGAAAGAATTGATTTGTTCTCTCATTTTTTAATAAATAAAATAAATTTCAGTCTATCAAATTAGATTAACAAAAATATTTCTAATTAATTTAAAAAATGATTCTAACGTCCAAAACAAAAATATAATATTTCCATACCTGAGCATTTCTTTGTACTTCCATTTGATGAAGCAGCTTTGAATTGTCACTTACTGATGAACTATTTTGAAAAACTTCTGTGACAACATTAAATTCAGCAACAGGTTCCTCAAAATAATTAAAATAGAATATTACTAAAATATGAATAAAAGATTACCTGGAACATTCTTGGCTCCCATAAACGTATAAGTCCATCTCTAGTTCCAACTAAAAGTCTTTGGCGTTCTCGTAAGATTCCCATCCCAACGACGGGAGCATTTGAATCTCTCAACCTCATAATTTCACATTCATTGGAAGGTAGACGAGTATCAAATACTGCCAATGTACCATCAGAAAACCCTAAAAATTAAATATTTTTTACAACTTTAAAATATTTAAGAAAATAAACGAACCACATCCAACAAGATCACAACTCAAATCAGAAGCAATATTTACAACACTTCCCTTTCCATGGCGTAATGAAACGTCAAAAATAGACTTTTCTGCCCAAGCATCCCAAATTCGACAAATTCTTACATTTCCAGAACAAATAAGACGTCCTTTGTCTTGATCCCAACTAACAAATATTTTTAAATTCAATTTAAAAATTCTAAATAATAGCATACTGATAAAGAGTTTTATTTCCTTTACCCAGACGTGGCATGTCATTCAACAAATAAGTGGCAGTAATTAACTTTGTCTGTCCTTTGAGAGAATAAGAATGCTCACAGAATTGTGGATCCCAAATCTTAAATTTAAAATAAGTAATAAAAATTAAACATGAAGGGAGGAAAAGTTACTAGGCTTCTCAACGAGAAAATCTAGTTTTAAATAAATAAGACCAAGCATTAATTGCATCACTAATAAAAAAATAAAAACCTTAAGCAATCCATTTCTTGAACCAGTCATCAATAATTCATGAGTTAAACCATTAACAACCATTAAATCAGTAATAGAATCTAACAAAAATGCCTCGCAGTCTACTTGCCATTCACTACAAAGTTTGCTGGGAGGAGGTGGCGCTGGCTGTTGTTGAGAGGCAGAAGATTGTTGTTGAAGTAAAGTATCGCCGGTAGGATAACTTGATTTGCAAATAGTTTAATAGTAATAACTTTTGATTATACCTATAAATACGAACTCTTCCCCCATCGCTTATATAAACATAAGGCCTTAAAAGACTCCAAGCTAGACTTGTTGCTGGTTGCTCAAATTTCAATTTCATACATTGTACTTCACATCGGGCCTTTTTATCTTTTATAAGTTCCATTTCTTTTTTTGATTTTTGCCAAATTCCATCGTGTATATGTATTGCCCAATCTGTGGGTTGCTCAACTGTGAAAGGCATTTCACTGTTTACAAGTGAATTACGAGTCGAAGTTGAGCTATCATCATAAATAGTTCCATAAAGTGGTTCTAAAAATCAATTAAATAAATTTTTAGAAAGAAAATAAAACCTGTCCATGTTTTGGCACACCAATCAACAAAAGATGTCCTCACAAGTCCCTCAGCTGCAATTGTTGAAGCTTGCTCAGCAAGTAATGCATCGCTTATGTCATTATTAACTTGAGAATAAGCTCCAGACTTTGTACCAAAAATCTGAAAAATAATAAAAATTATGAGGCAAGGCTATCAATTTTAACGTACACTTCGTTTTGGTGTGTATAAACTATGATGAATAAAGGGATCCATCAATAATCTTCGCTTAGCATTGTCCATAGTTTGAGGAGATTGTCTAAGTGATGTCGAAGGAGGAGATAGTAATTCTTGTTTTTTATTTTCAGAAACCATTGAGTCAGTCATAGAATTTGTTGTTCTGGCACTGCTCCCGTTGCTTGTAGGGGCTAGTTCCGGTGAAATTTCACCTCCATTTTCCTCTTCTTTAATTGTAGATGTATTACCCGTGTCTACGGTCAGGACATTGTTGTCATAGTTTGAACTAGTCGATGGCTGCGCTGAAGGGGAACCAACAAGAAATTTAACCTGAAAAAATAAAGTAAGCTAGAATACCAAGTAAAATTAGAATACCGATGGATTAGAATGTAAAGTATCATTATTATTATATTCATTATTTCCATCATTATAACCAACATCGCTAATTGACTTTGATTGCCCACTGTCATGTCTTCTTCCAGAAACAGTTCTTCCTTCCCCCAAAGAAGCAGACATATGTTTATGAACTTTTTGCTGTTTAAATTCCAAAACTTTTGTACGAGCCTCTTTGATTTTTGTTGAAAGTTCAAATATGTAGGTAATAATACGTTCACCCATTTTACTAACATCCTCAAATGGATCGAGGCCCAAACGCAATACACAAAGCCAAATTCGTTCAAATGGACCAATGAATGCCTTGGCTTCAAGAGTACGAATATGAGCAAGAATTCGATATCTTTTAAAAAGAATAATATTGAAAAAATTAAGATTTTAATATTTATATCAGAGATGTTGTGGGTTAACAACTTTCTAACACCAAAAAATATAAAAATATTTTAAATCATACTTGAAAGCGCTTTGAGAATCAATATGAAGACTAGATGACGTTGGGCAATCAGATCGAGGTAAAAGACTACATTTACGACTAGAATTAGTGCTTTGACGGCTGGCAGGATCTTAAATCATTTTTAAAAAAATTTGAAATAAAAAATAAAAACAAACAAAGAAGAGAGGCCGATCGAGGAATAATTGAATAAACACTACTCATACTCCTTTTCGGTAAACTGCTCTCAGCAACACTATTTGTTAAACTTTGTTTTTTACCAGTAAAGTCCACAGAAGCTAAGGCTTTATGCTAAAAAAATAATTTTAAAATACAAAAAAAAATCTCAAATTTTAAAACATGCCAATTGTGATTCCATTCCTGCATGCACTGTTCCATTTCCAATACGCATTTTTGACCCGCTAATTATTGGTCTTTCAAGTTCGGAATTTTGTTCAGGGAGTAAATGTTCATTTTTTCGATCCAATTCAATACAAATTGCAGCAAAACGAGATTGAAAATCAATAACAAACCATTGAATTGCTGATGCCAATTCTGCACGTACAATTATAGAACCATCATAAATGCAATTTTCACAAAGTTTGTCACATACTTCATTTTCAACCTTGGAAAATTAAAAAATTCCCAGTAAAACATAAATAAAAAGATACCGCTGTTGCATGTTCATTATTTCGTGAAGTATTATGAACGAAACAACCTAGAGCATATACAGCTGCAGCTCTAACTTCTGGTACTTCATCACTCAGAAAATCAACAGCCTAATGAAGAATTACAAGAAAATTCAAATTTTAAAAATTACAAGAAAACTATACTTTATCATAAGCAACATTTCTAATGGCTTGCCATCTGGCTTTGTCACATTCTGACCAAAGACGACCTAGTCCAATAAGTAGCCATAAACAGAGCATTCTACATTGAGTAACTTGTTGATTCGATAATAATTCGATGCAAAGGCTGACATAGTCACTCTGAACTAATTTATCTTGGGCAGGCCTGTAAATGTTTAAATAAAATTTTTATCAGAAAAAGCAGAAAAATTACCTATAGTTATTGCAAATTATTGTAGCCATTACAAAAGCAGAAACAATTTTCATACGCGGAGACATTGATTGATCATTGAGTACTTGAAGAAAATAATAATAACTAAAATATAAAATAAATTTAATAAAATAAAAATAAAATACCCATTATCTTTGACAAGATCGTGTTGGCAGATTGGGTCAATTGCTAGTATTTTTGCCCAAATAAAAGTTAAAGCTGGACGTAATTCTCTTGTACCACACTGCAAAAGTTTTAGCACATAGGGAAAAATTCCAACAGTAAGTACAGAAACAACAGCCCAGGGACCAAGGTCAACGAAACGAGCCAAAAGTTCGAGTGCCCGAACACGATGAATCTATAAATTTAAATTAAACATTTTCCAAAATAAACAAAAAAAAATCACTTGGCTAAGCAGAACTTGAAGGACAACAGGAAGTTGTTGAGGAGGCTCATTTTTATCTACAGAAAACTTCAACCAAACTTCGAAGGCTTGGAGCTGTTCAATAAAGAACCAACTGTAGGCATATTCAGATTCAGTTATAGCACTTTGAGGGAGTTCAATGAGAACTAGAAAATTTTAAATAAAATTAAAAAATAAAAAAATACAAACAAATAGGTTTAAGTGATGGAGTGCCAACATAACAATCAGTTCTAGTAAAATACATAATACTCTCCTTTGATTGAAGTAGATTGTACATATTTGCAATACATAAATCCAAAACATAATCCCAATATTCCCATAAAGGGTGGGCATGAACAGATGGAAGTTCTGGAGTTGAGACTACATGACAACCATTTTCTAACATTATTCTTTGAGCAAGCAAAAAACTTCGAAATAATGAGGCGATTAGTAAATCCTGTTAAAAAAAAGATAATTTTAGGAATAAATGTAAAATAAACCTGTCTAAAAAGCTTTTGAAAAGTATCTCTACTTAAACAACTCCAAGCAATTGTATCAGTTATTGCTGTAAATATCCAATTTAATTCACCAAGAAGTGTTCTTCTATCTGTTAAAACGCCAGGAATGTCATCAATTATATTTTGAGGAAATCGTGATTTAACACCTAATTTGAGCATATGACAAAGAAGTGAAGTTTGTATTGGAGTAATTAAGCAACAAGTAAATAAATCTGCTGGTAAATCAGCACAATGGAAAGGAAGTGTTTCACCAACAGAACAGGCACCCAATTGAATACAATTCTGGAAAAAATGAAAAAATATTAGTAAATATACAAAAATAGAATTTTCCGTTTTCAGAGCAAGAAAAATACAAAAAGAAAATTAGAAATAGATAAATGAACAAAATTTTCAAAAATTCCCATCTTATGTTAAGAGAAGTAAAAATAAAAAAAAACTAAAGAAAAATACCTTAAATGTTTGGACAGAATGGCTACTTGTTGAAGCTCCACTAGAAGCAACATCATTTCCATTACTCCCGTAAAAATTATTTGAGTCGTTAATTTGGTCAATTGATGGGCCAGGCGAATTGTAGTGTTGCTGTTGTTGAGCTAATCTATCTCTATCTCGCATTGCTTGATAATCTTCCATCCATCTAAAAATATTTTTAAAAAATTTTTGAGTGGGCCAAAACGTCATCATAAAATGAAAAATAATTTCTTTTTCACTTAGAAATGAAAAAAATAAATTTATACTTGATTGAATGATCGTCAGCAAATTGCATGAACATTCTAAGAATTGTGCCGGCTGAATTACAATCCCATAAGTAAACAGAAGGGACGCCCATCCATGATTGGAGATCATATAATGAAAGAGGAATATACTAAGAATATTTTTAATTTAATCAACAAAAAATAAAAACCTGTGTTATATTTTTGTCAAAAACCCAAATCTCGCCAGCATCCGAAGGTTTCGGCACCCCATGCCCATTAAAGTGAAAAAGCACCCTCTCATCTTTCGCATTTCTTCTCATACTTGTACAGAGTTTACGGACACAATCAACTAAAGAAATTAAAATAACTTTAACCTTTTCAAAAAAAACCTGTCGGGTCAATTGCAGATTTATAACGAGCTCTAGGCTGCAATTTCTCATAAATTTTTTGTAAACTTTGCCCAATTTTTTGTGAAGATCGTTGAGGGTTAGAAGTACTTGGATCAACCCAAGCCTCTTTTCTTGCACACCGCAAAGGTTTTTTAATGTCAGGCGGATCGACCCCAACATTTAAACAAAGAACTAAAGCAACAGAAACAGTTTTCATTCTTTCGCGTATTTTACGCCTTTAAAAAGTTATAAAAAGAAAATAAATTAAAAAAAACCAGTCATCCTTGTTCTTTAAAGATTCTAAAAATGCTCCTTTTATTTCTTCAATATGTCGCGCTTCGCGAAACCAAACTTTTTGTTTTTCCTTGACATTCATTTGTAGAGGCATTTTTTGTATTGAATTTAATTAATTATTGAAATTTTTAGAAAATAAAAATGAAGAAATTTAAATAATTTTTGTCCTAAAAATTAAAGACAAAAAAATAATAATTTAATGATAAACGTAGTATTAATACTAATTTTTTGTAACTCTCGAAAACTGGATTTAGCAACAGAATCTGGGGATCCGGTTCTGTTTCATGGCTTTTTTGGATGTGTCGGGATGAGGTCGAGATTAGGAATTGACGGCTTTCTCGGTTCGGGTCCGGCCCCCGTCGGTCAATTTTCTTTTCCCATTTCCGGGTTTTCTAGAAATTACCGTTAGAGTCTAGAATTTGAAGGAAGTAAATTTTCCTGTCACCTTGTTGCCTGGACTCTAATAAACATTTACTTAAAAACGAATTGTTTTTTGTCTGGATGTCTCCAATAAAAATAAAATATTTCTATGGGTGGTTGAGTCTCAAAAAAGAAGGGGAGACGATTTCAATCGAAATCATAAATTTAATAATTACACAAAGTACTTTTAAATTTTTTTGTTTTTTTTTCAGTAAAAATGTACAGCGAAATAGAGGAAGGTGAATATATAGATGAAGAGGACATTGACACCGAGCAAATTGAAAAAGAACAAATCTCCACGAATTTAAGGTTTTTATTTTTTAAATTTTATAAAATTAAAAATAATTTAGAAAAATGTCTAAAAATCGAAAACCAACAAAACCACCACAAATTGAAGAAGATGACAATGACGACGATGAAGTTTTAAGACAAAAATTACTTGAAAATTTAGTGAAATCACAAGTAAATATTTTTAAATTTAAATTATTTTTATTAAAAGACTCGAAAACAATTAACAGAATCGAGTGAAGGAAGTAGTCAATCACCAAAAAGAAAATCTTCCCAAAATAATAAATTATCTATTTTAATTTCACAATTGGATTCGGCACATAAAAAAAGAGATTCTTGTTTAAGTAGGCGGAGAGAAATTCAAGTAATTTTTTTATTAAAACGTTTTTGATTAATCCTGAAAAGCTAAAGCACTCCTGCCGTTTGGGGGGGGGGGGGCAGTTTTCTTACCATTATATCTTTTTTTAAACCAGATTTTTTGATATAGGTCCTTATTACCGTAGCTAATTAAATCTGGTGACACTCGACATGGAAAAACTCACATTGGTCTTATAATGGTAAGACGCGGTCCCCAGAAACGTCAGGAGTGGCAAAGATAAAAATTTTTCTATTGAGTGGAAGGTAAGGAATACTTTGTAAAATAAGGGGTACTTGTGTAGTTTACATCCCATAATCACAGACTTTTTTCTTCTCTCCTTTTTTTAAAAATTTGTGCTGTTTTTATTTTTTTTAGCTGCTTTTGTGAATGAAAAGATACCTGATTTTATTTATAAAAATTTATTTCTTTAAAGTTTTTTTTCAATATATTTTTTTATTTTAAAGGAAATGATGACAATTTGTGATTTAGATTTGGAAAGAATAAATGAAGCAATAAATAAATTAATTACCAAAATTTATTCTGACATTCAATCTGTCGCTAAACAACAGAAAAAACAGCAAAAACAAAATTTAAAAAATGAAATTAAAAAAATTTTGCCTGAAAATGAGAGAAAATCACCAATTTCTAGGCTACCAATTCCAACAAGAAAGCGAAAAAATTTATTGGACAATAATAGTACCAATCGAAAAATTGCAAGAATAATGGACGAAGGAGAGGTTTTTTTAAAAAGAAAATTATTTTTTAAATTAATTTTTAGGATCTCGATTTGCGTGAATTAATTCCTTCTAAAGCTGTAGATGTTATTGGACAATTACAACAAGCACAAAAAGAAGTACAAAAACCGATATTAATAAATACTAGAAATGAAGATTTAAATCAACATTTAGTTCCACAATTAAAAAGGTTTTTAAATAAAAAAAATAAAAAAATTTGTGGTTAAAAAGTTTAACAAATGTCAACTTTTAACTTCTTTTTTTATAACAAATAAATTAATCTTTATTTTAAAGTGGGCATATTTTAAGTGGGCAATTTTTTATTTTTATTTTATTTTTTTCACTCTCGATTTGCGTGAATTAACGGAACCCGACCCCAACATTGAAACACAAAGAAATATCGAAATTTTTGGATTTCAGTCCCCAAAATTGAATTTGTCCTGAATGTAATTTGGCCTCATACACATATTTACTTCCCCAAATTCTTTTACAAGGGGTGGAATATTAAAATAAAAATTTTTTAGAAAATTTAAATATTTTTTTAAAGTTTAACAGAACCAATCAAAGTTATCAATAAAAATAAAAATATTTCTCCAATTCCTCTTGAAGAAGGTGAAATAGCTGAAAATGATGAATCGTTTGAAGGAGAAGAGTATTGTGTTAATGAGAAAATAAAAGAAAACAAAAATACTAATCAAATTAATGAAAATATTTTAGAAGAAAATGAAGTTTTGATAGAAATAGATAAAAATACAACATCTTTAGTACCCGAATTTTCTGAAAATTTGGAAGAACAAGTAAGGGAAAATTAAAATTTTGGAAAAGGATATTTTTAAAAATAGAACATAATTGGTAAATACAAACAGAAATATTAGAAAAGAAAAATTTTTTTATGTAAAAATAAGTACCTAAATCAGAATTAACTATTTATCAAGGGCGTAGCCAGAGGGTCGATTTCGCGGGGAAGAGATTTTCCCCAGATGCCCTCCTGGCTACACCCTTGCTATTTATTTTTTCAGAATTTTTTTTTACAAAAATTCTTTACCCTATTTTTATTCTGATTTTTATTTCAAAATAATTCTGAAAATTTTAATCAAAATTTTATAGGATGTTATAAAAGAATCTCCATCTCCCCCAACACTTCCATTAATGAATATTCGTTTATATAGGTATTAACTTAAATAATTTTTTTAAATTTTTTTTTCTGTAGATTAAGTCCAAATTTCCCTCAACATTTATTATCACATCCAGCATTTTCGAGTAATTTAAATCCATTTATTCCTCTTTGTCCATTTCAATTAAATGGACGTTGTGCAGACAAACATTGTTTATTTCAACATGAACAAGATTATATTTTAAATGAAAAAGAAATTGTTGAAGAATTTTTGTCTTATTGGCCAAAACTTGTGCCAAAAGGAATGGGGAATTGTAAAAAAATAATTTTTTAAATTAAAAAATTTCTAAATTTAAAATAGCTGATTATGCCACAAAAATGTTGGCAGAAGGCCCATTAGATCAAGTACTTGGATTTTTAATGGCTAGTATGCCAGATGATGTTCGGATTTGTTTAAATTTATTTTCTGGGAAATATTTTGAATATTCTCGTCAGGCAGATAAACAAATAAGTAGAGGTTTTTTTTAGATTATTTCGAAAAAATTATTTTTTTAGATGATCAAATTGAATATGAACAAACAATAAAAGGTGCTGTCGGTCAACCAAAAGGGTGGTTGTCGTTATCACAACAAAAAGGTAATATGAAAACTTTAATCAACAAAAATGACAAAAAGAAGTGGTTTGAGCCGAGAAATAAAAATAATATTATTGAATCAGGCTGACAAAAATTTTTATTGAAAAACTAGACAAATTTATATTTTATTGTATTTGCGTTGAAATTGAGTTTTTTCTCAATAACATGTATATACAGTGGTGCACAAAAGTAATGCCCGCTACATATAAATTTTTTATTTCAACTTGTCAAGGGTTCGCTTTTTATTTTTAAATTTTTTTGTTTGTCCTGAAATAAACTATTTTTTATGGGCTTTAATATGACTACAAACTTTAGGATGAAAAAATTATAAAAAATATTTTTGAAAATTTTAAAAATTTTGACTAAATTTTTCATGGTGCAAAAGTAATGCCCGCTTTTTATTTTCGACAGAAAAAATAAAAATAGGCTAATATTTTGGTTTTATTTTTATTTGTTATAGAATATTAAGTAAAAATAAACACAAATGACATTAAAAAAGCAATGGGAAATTCAAAAGACCAAGGTAAAGCTCAGAGGCATTTTGGGGGGCCACAAGGGGGAGGCTGCATACTCATGGATATATTTCCAACAAGGTGCTAGTTTTTTCCGATTATGAGGTATCATTTTGTTCAGCAAAATGCTGCGGTACATAGGAGCATTTGTGTTGCCAGAAATTTCTGCATACGGACTAAAGCCATTGCAAGGAAGGCATCTTGGAAACGAGTGTAAATTGACCCAAAATATTAAGTGTCTATTAACCCATACAAAGATCCCTCCACCAGCATTTTTCATATTTTTTGGATAATAACGATCGTTTCGAAGTCAAAGAATGTGATTTCTCCCATTAGGGTCGTGAAAATTTAAAAGATTTTCATTACTCCGTAACACCCTCACAACTGCTCCACGGACTGGTGTTGATCTTGAACCACCTTTTGAAGGCACAAAGCTTGATATAGTTCATACTTAGTGGGTTTCTTGGCAGGCCTCCTAGCTAGCAAATGGTAAAGTTTCAGGACATGGCTAACATCCTAAGGTTGGTTATGGCCCCAAACATACCCCTCCCCCTTGTGGCCCCCCAAAATGCCTCTGAGCTTTACCTCGGTCTTTTGAATTTCCCATTGCTTTTTTAATGTCATTTGTGTTTATTTTTACTTAATATTCTATAACAAATAAAAATAAAACCAAAATATTAGCCTATTTTTATTTTAACTGTCGAAAATAAAAAGCGGGCATTACTTTTGCACCATGAAAAATTTAGTCAAAATTTTTAAAATTTTCAAAAATATTTTTTATAATTTTTTCATCCTAAAGTTTGTAGTCATATTAAAGCCCATAAAAAATAGTTTATTTTAGGACAAACAAAAAAATTTTTAGAAAGAAAATGAGCCGGTGACAAGTTGAAATCAAAAACCTATATGCAGCGGGCATTACTTTTGTGCACCACTGTAATTGGGATTATACAAAGTGATTAAAAACATATTTTTATGGGATATTCTGGTAGAAAAATTTAGCTAGAAACTAACTTTGGTTAACCAAAACCGGAGATCAGCCAAAAACTGGGGGTGGCACAGTTCCTTTGGGAAAGTAGTACTTTCCTTTGGAAAGTACTTAACGAACAGACTAAGTTTTGCAATAGAAAAAACTTTGTAATGTTTGTATATTTTATTTTAGCATACCCTTATGTAAACGATTTTAAAAAGTAAATACCGGTTATATCTATTGAAAGAACTAAAAATTAAAAAAAAATCCAGAATTTTTTATCCTAAAAAACAAAAGAATTTCACTAAAATAATTAACAATTTACATTAAAATCGAAACCAAAAATCCAACTTTTTACTCCATCCTAGTTGTTGCACTGGCAGAAGAAAAATAATGTTGCTCAAACATGGCAGCACGTCTCTTAGCTATAAAGTGTTTTTAAAAAGTAGTAAGACAAAAAAAACAAATCAGAAAATTTTTATATTCCCCAAAAAATATTTCAAAAATTATAAAAAAGAGATAAATTTGACAAATCTCCAATGAATTATAAAAAAAATCCCTAAAAATAAACTAACCATGATCCAACCATTCAACGGTAACTGGATGGTAATGATAAGCTTTATAATCCTGTCGTTCAGCAATTAAATGTTTAACACGAGCCTCAATTCTATTCCATCGATTTCTAATTTGCCAATGAGAAAAACGCGAAGCCCAAGACTCGTGATATTGCATATCTTTTTTGATTTTAAAAATTAAAATTTAATTTAAAAGATTTACCGCTTGGAGTAATATAACGGGCTAAAAATTGTCGTAAAGGTGTCCTCTCAAATTGCCAATAATGAGGAGGTTGTTCACCTTCTTTGGGGTATTCTTGAAGTTCACATTGACTACCTAATTTTTTTTAATTAAAAATAGTTAAGGAGAACAATTTTATTTTCTGGACCGCCGAAATTTTTTCTATATAGTTTTTTCCCTGGGACTTCAAGGAATTAATTAAATCTCTTATAACGAGTGGTAAAAGTAGATTGTGTTCAATATCTTTCTCTCAAAAGAGAAAGATTTTTCAAAAATGGATATCGAAAACAAAGATAGAAAAACATTTAATTTTCAGTAACTTTATGAAATTTATTTATCAATTTTTAGTAACTATAACAAATATTTATTAGTTTTCAAAAAAACTAACCGAATATAGCATGTACTACAATCAAAAGAAGAAAGCCAGGAATTAATCCAAGTCCAACAATATAAAAATGACCGCCGTCCTTAAGTTTGTTGCTAATTAATTGTCCTTGACGCCGACGAAAAACCCAGGCATGTCCAGAATGGCGAACATTAATTACTAAAAATAAATTCTAAACTGTTTAAATTAGAGTAGCACCCCGTCCCCCGAATTTTTAGGCAAAAACCAAGACCCGATCTCGAAGGCTCCACCTGACAAACCACGATCCCCGACGCCAACACCTGTGCGGGCAAAACCCGACTATTTTTTTGACAAACCGCTACCGTTGTTTAAATAACCCTCTCATCGAAACTCTCCCAAACAACAATAACTACGAAACAAACCTCGCATAAAATACTTTTAAAACGAACCTGTCTGTTGTCCATTCCCTACAAGAAGAAAACCAACTAAATCACTCCGAGGAGCAATTTGCCGAGCATTTAATAAAGGCGAAAGATGCAAAAATTTGCTGATAGCAGGCATAAATTAAAAAATATCCTTAATATTAAAATATCTATTTTCTGAATTAAAATAAAAAATAACAAAATGTTCGAAAACAATTTAAAAATTAAACAAAAATAATTCCAACACAATTTATACTAAAAAAGAAAATTGGTTATTTTTACACAAATGGAAAACACAAAATTTTGTGTTTTTTATTAATTTTATACATTTAATTTTAAGAGAAAAAATAGTAGATTGTGAGAAGAAAATGGAATTAAAAATTGTTTTTTTACTTTAAAAGAACAAAAATATATTTTGGTCAATATAAAGCAAAAAAATGAAGTTTATTTATTTATTAGTGGTAAATGTTTTTATTTCGGTAATAAAATGTACATGTTTGGAACTAGAGAACTTTAAAATTTATTTATTTAAACATTAAAATATCCAGAATTTTTTAATTATTTCTGTTAATTTTATTTAAATTTTATTAAAGTTCTCCAGTTAATAAAAATCCGTGAAAGAGTTTTATAATGAAAAAGAAAAGTCAGTAGGTAAAATGTCAATCAAATCAATCTTAAAACATCCAATTCCCATGTAAAAGATGGAACATAAAAGGGAATTTAAAAATATTTTTCTTTAAATTTAAGAATTTCTAAATTCAAAGAAACTCAATTTACATAAAATCCAAAATTTAATTTAAAAATTCCCTCAATGATAAATTTAAATATAAAAAAGAAATAATTAGAGCAACATTTTGATAGTATTTAAATTTTTTTAATTAAACCCAAAATCACAATCAAATTCCATTCATTTGTGCAAGCTGTAGATTTTGTTGCTGAATTGCCCCAACGGCACCAACAACAGCTGCTGCCGCCAATCCTCCGCCACCTGGCCCAGCAGCAATTGCTCTGTTATTTGCAACATTTAAAAAATCCCAAATCAAAATTGTGTCGTCGTGAGAAGAACTTATCTAAAAAATTAATTGTAAAAATTTAATTTTTAAAATTCCTTACAATTTGGAATTCATCAAATTGTAGTCTAAAAACTCTTCCTGTATGCTCTGACAAAGTTTTTAGACATAAACTATTAGGCGGTGTTCGCGGGTCGAGAGCAGCTTGTAAATCCCAAATTTTAATTTTTCTAAAATATTTAAAAATTAAAAAAATTATTTCAGTTAATCTTTACCCGTCATAAGCACCCGAAACAATGCGTTTGGAATCAAATCGAATGCATCTAACAAGCTCTTCGTGACCTTCTAGCACACGCAGACAATTGCCACATTCAATGTCCCAAAGACTAAAATATTAATGTAAATTAATTCAATGAGGAAAAGGGAATGTATTGATCAAAAGTAACCAAAAAAGACAATTGCTAAGGAAAATAAAATAGGAAAATGTTAATTTTAACCAAAATCTCGTTATAGGTTTTTGAAGAAACACTACAAATACCCTAATTTATTGACTAGTGTTAGGCAAACTTCACAGACAATTCCAAAGATTAAAAAACAAATTATACCGTATAGAAAAGTCGCTTGAACCAGAAACGATTAACCGGTCTCTGTACTGCAAACAAGCTATACCGCGTTTATGACCATTAAGAGTTCGCAAAAATTCGCACGTACCGGCATTCCAAACCTATGAAAATTAAATTTATAAAAAAATTAAAATGAGAAACCTTAATTGTTCGATCACCACTGGCAGAAACAATATAGCGCTGATCAAAATCTACAACATTAACAGCAGCACGATGTCCAACAAGTACACGCCGAATGTTTATTTCTGTAGGGGATGCCATATCCCAAACGGCGATAGAACGGTCCTTAGAACTAGAAAGGAAAAAGTATATTGAGATTAAGAAAAAGCTAACCAAGTAACCAAAACTCCATCTTGGAATCGTAAGTGAAGAACAGCCTCACAATGATGAATGAGTGTATTTAATTGAGCACCAGTCCTCACATCCCAGATCCTACAGAAATTAAATTTGACTATCCCATGTTTTTATAAATATTCCAAAAAAATTTTGAAGTAAAAAAGTACAAAACAAACCGAACAGTTGCATCACTACTTCCACTAGCAATAATTTGGTTGTCATATTGTAAACAAAGCACAGAGCCAGTGTGACCAGTGAGAGTAGCAACACATTGAAGAGCAGGACGATTCCAAATCTTTATTGTATTATCACGAAGTCCTGAGACAATCTTTTCATCATCATATTGAAGACAATAGACACCTAAAAATTGAAAAATACTAATAAATAAAAATATAACCCTATTATAATCAAAATTAAAATAGCAGGAAAGTAGAATTTAGTGAAAATAAATCAAATTTAATCATAAAAATACCTTTACTATTTTCTGATCCACAATTAATTCGTTCAAGGCGATGATGACCCTCGCGCCAATTTTGTTCAATTTGACGAATGTCTGACATAATTTGAGGATAGAGACCGCTAAAAGGAAAAATAATTAAAAAAATAAGAATAATTAAAAACCGATAAAATTTATGTTGTAATTCTAAAGGATCAAATTCTTTATCAATTGGTCTACGAAGTTTTTCAAAGTCAGCAACACTATAACCACTCGCTGCCAAAATAGAACAAGTCGCCTGATTCTTAGATACAAACAGAAAGTTTTTCCTAAAAGTTTTAGATTTTTATGCAAGCCCACTTATTAGACATTATAAAAGAAATTAAAAGTGTTATGCAGGTGGTTTAAACATATCAATATTTTTCATCACTTTCCTTTCTTATCTATTTTGCCCCCATTTCTTAATATATTGTATTAAAATGATTCACCTTTCAAATATTATTAAAGTAAATGATCCACCTTTCAAATATTTTCCTTTCATCTTATTCAAATTGTTGCCGTTCAAACCTAAACCCTTTTACTTTTATTCTATCAAATGTATTGTCCTTGTGCTTTTATCATTTTCCGCCTTTCCTCTACCCTATAAATTCTCAATGTCTTTGGAGCCCCACCTGACCGTAATTTATGTTTAAACATATTCTAATTGAAAAACTCAAAATATTTAAGTTTAGGATCATTTAATATGCTTATGACAGACGTAATAAAAGAATCAGAAATAAACTATTAAAATTATATAACCAACCATCCCCTTTTATTAGCAAGTCCCTGCCAGAGTTGATCAGAACGAAATTTACGTTCAAAAAACTTTCGCCACAGCATCCCATTAGCAATCACTTTGTGCCATTCTTTACTAACTAATTCACAAGCATATAAAGACTGGGCATCAAGTAATTGTAAAACATTTTCAGCCAAACCAGTTGGCAACAAGCTGATAAAATCTCTTTTTAGCATTGGTCCAAGAAATTGATCTATTTGTCCATGTTGATGATGACACATTCTTTGAAGTAAATGTTTGCAAAAATCAGTTTGGTCCTGCTCAGTCCATGCCATAAATTTCTAATTTATAAAATTATTCCCCAAAAAAGAGATAAAAACAAACCGAAATTAAATTATCTCGTTCACATAAATAACGTTCACTTAAAACCTTTTCACGTTCCCCAAGTGTCAATTCAGCCAAAATGTGTGCAGTCGAAGAGCTCTAAAAAGTGAAAGATTTTGGGGGTAATTAGAAAAAAGTCAAAAGATTTTACCGGATTCATTATTGGCCTTGAACGATACAATTGAAATAATGGCCAGAAAAGTCTACTATAATGTCCTAAAAAATATTCTTTAAAAATTCAAGAAATTATTTTAAAAAATTAAAAAAATATTTAGACGTAAACTGTGTAAAAATTAGACAAATTGTTTTAACTACTATAACAAGTTAAAAAATAGCAAGTCTACTAAAAAAGTCTAGTCCAACAGTTAGACGCTTGACTATCAGTATAACCAATATAATACTAGAGAAAATTAACTAGTGGATGAGTAACTCGGCGCAAGCGATTCGATGTAAATCTATAACTTTTGATAAAAATTTCTAATTTAGGTAATATTTTTAAGAAAACTCATTAGATTGCAGAAAAAATATGTATGTTAACTATAAAAATTAAGCATTCAAAACTATAAAATGCACAAATAATTATAAGTTTACGCCAAAATGAACTGCGTCTAATTGGGTTTAGGAGGAAACGATAGAGAGGAGACGATAGAAAAAATCGATTTATAAAAATGGCATCAACCAAAATGGTATATGACAAAAATGGTCATGGGACAGAATGCCACTACGGCAAAAAAGTGCCCGAACAAAATATTGAATCGCTAAAATATCGGACTGCTAAAATGGGTTAAAATCTCGTCACGGTTAAAAGGGTTTAAAATATCGAATCTTTAAAATATCACTGTGTTAAATCTCGAGTTACCTAAAAAGGGTCAAAACATCGACATGACCAAAAAAGGTTAAAATGTCTATTTTTTGAAATTCGGAAAGGGCCATTTGAGTGCCAGCACTATATTTTTTTATTATACAGTATATTTTAAATATTTATTTATTTATTATTTTTTGTTTTGATTTCCGGTTCATGTTCCGATTTATTTTTGCTTATACTTTAGTATATACTTTAGCTGCTGAGAAAGATAGGCATATCGAGCGGAACGATGGCCCTCGCTCGGTCGCCGCGAGCGAAGCTAGCTAGCACGGCCGCATCAACTACTATGGAAACTTAAAAAAAATGAAGGAAAAAAACACAATTTTTTTATCCTCAGGTTCAGTAGTAAAAATACAAATTTCTTTATCAAACTATAAAGAGTTTTGTTAAAAGTTGAATGAATTTGGTTAGAATTTTTGTTAAATAAAGTTTTTGGTCTTTGATTTTTAATTAATTAAAATATAAAAAATCAAAGTAAAGGTTTTATCGACTTCAAAATTCTTTTCTCTTCATCAATTACAAATAATTTATCTAATTGTTTAACATAAATTATTGCTGTACTTCCAGGCAATGTTTTGGGTAATTTTTTGTTTTCCAACATTTTCCAGTTTGGGTGATTGTTGTCATTTAAATCTAAAATCCATATTTCTCCATTAAAAATTCCTTTATTCAATCCAAATTGTTTAGTCCCAGCAAAATGAATCCAAACATTTTTGTTTGAAATAAAAGAATTGGCTAAAGAGCAAGAATAATTAAATTCAGGATGATTAGTACCGTGCCCGCTCAACTCATCTAATTCTTAACTCATCCACACGCCCAAAAACGCTCAACTCATCTAAACGGCTAAAATTCCTTAACTCATCCACACGGCCAAAAACGCTCAACTCATCCAATCCTCAACTCATCTAACACTTAACTCATCCACACGCCCAAAAACGCTCAACTCATCCAATCCTTTGGAACGAGACTATTGAGTACCAGTCGTTTGAGTCTCTGGCCGTCTGAGTCCATGACAAGTTGAATCCCTGGCCTAAGTACACTTTACCGGGCGATTTTAGATTTTTATGATTTATATGTCAATCGAAAGAGCTCGGCGAGCTGAGTCGAATGACACCAAAATTATCCCGCGGACTCAACTATGAACCGAGATATGGGTCCCCAAAAATCGAAAAACCATAGGGGGGACCAAGCACTTTTTGGGGGTAAAAAATTCGAATATGCAAATTATACCTCATTCGAAAGAGCTCGTCGAGCTGAGTCGAATGACACCAAAATCACCGTGATTGAATAAGATAAGACTAAGTTATGACACAAAATCAAACAACGTAAACCTATGGGTCGTCGGCGAGGCGCTTGTGCAAAACCCCGCGCTTCGCGCGGGGTTTTGCGGCACGCGCCTCGCGGGGAGTCTACGGGTGCTGGGTCTGGGCTCGTAACATAAACCTATTCCTATCTCCCTTGCTCTGTACGTATTTGGGGCCTCCGTAGCAGCAAGAATCTCCACCGATGCCATAGGTAAGGAGCTAAAATAAAAGAGCATAACTTTGTCAAATTAAGTCGGATTTCGTTGATTTTGGTGTCATTCGACTCAGCTCGCCGAGCTCTTTCGAATGAGGTATAATTTGCATATTCGAATTTTTTACCCCCAAAAAAGTGCTTGGTCCCCCCTATGGTTTTTCGATTTTTGGGGACCCATATCTCGGTTCATAGTTGAGTCCGCGGAATAATTTTGGTGTCATTCGACTCAGCTCGCCGAGCTCTTTCGATTGACATATAAATCATAAAAATCTAAAATCGCCCGGTAAAGTGTACTTTAGCCGAATCCCTGGCCGTCTGATTGTGAGTTCATGACCAGTTGAGTCCCTGGCCGTTTGAGTCTCTGGCCGTCTGCAGCCCATGACAAGTTGAGTCCCTGGCCGTTTGAGTCTCTGGCCGTCTGAGTCCATGACAAGTTGAGTCCCTGGCCGTTTGAGTCCATGACCAGTTGAGTCTCTAGCCGGTTAAGTCCCTGGTCAGTTGAGTCCCTGGCCGTTTGAGTCTCTGGCCGTCTGAGTCCATGACAAGTTGAGTCCCTGGCCGTTTGAGTCCATGACCAGTTGAGTCTCTAGCCGGTTAAGTCCCTGGTCAGTTGAGTCCCGGCCGTTTGAGTGGTTGATTACCGCCGGTTGAGTCTTGGGCCGGTTGAGACTCAACTGACCAGGAACTCAACCGGCTAGGGACTCAACCGGCCGATATTTCAAGGATTGGATGAGTTGAGCGTTTTTGGGCCTGTGGATGAGTTAAGCATTAGATGAGTTGAGGATTGGATGAGTTGAGCGTTTTTGGCCGTGTGGATGAGTTAAGTGTTAGATGAGTTAAGGATTGGATGAGTTGTAGGGTAGCCATTAGTACTTTCAAACTTTAAATTAAAAATATTTTGGTTGGCTGCCAATAAATAATTTTTATTAAATACTTTTGTGGACAAAAATATAAGGAGGGACAAAAGTAGGTGAAAAGTTATTTGGGTCTATTACTTATCTCATTTCAGTGTAGAGATTAAGTTACCCTGAAAATCAACGTAAAATTGGGGTTTCAAAAATACTTCGACCCCTTATTTTAAAATTTTATATTAGTCCTAGTCGAAAGTCCTTGAAATCTGCTGTAATTTCTTTCTTCAGAAAAAATATTTCAATTAGTTGAAGGGGTGTTAATTAGTTATAGAGGTTAAATTCACTTGTGTTTGACCCTATCAGAGGTGTGTCGGAACAGCCAGAGGTGTCGGAAGTTAGAAGAGTCGGAAATAGGAACTGGCTGAAAAGTCTGAACTCGAAAATCGAAATTTTTTTCGGAAATCGGAAGGAAAAAACGTCGGAAATCGGAATTCCGGCCCACCTCTGGTCCCTATCCTTTTCTCCATTACTGTATTTTAAACTAAATTTTAAATTTTTACTTTATAAAAATTTTTTACTTTAATTAATTCAGACATTTTCCCTTCTTCCAAAGACAATTTTAATAGCCAATTTGGTTCCCAACGAAATCCACAACATAAAATCCCTCCTTGTACATAAATTAATTTATTAGAAAATAATATTGAATGTGTTGGTTGAAATCCTTGAAAATAATTTTCAGGCAAAATTACAGGAATATTTTGACATTTAATCTCTTTGTTATTTTTTATTTTTAATAATAAATAAATATTTATATTATGATTTTCATATGAAACAAAATATAAAAGTTTATTTTCATTTTCTTTTAATTCTCCAGCAAATATTAAATCATTTCTGTAACTTTCTTCAGAAGGAACTAAAAAAGATACATACATTCTTTATTTTATTTTTAAAATTTATTTTTAAAATATTTTTTTTTGCTTTTTGGTCATAAAAAATTTAAAAATAGCTCTTCGCTTTATATTTTTCTATTTTATTTGTTTTTCCAAAAAATTCATCCAAATTTCTGAACAAGGATAGATCTGTCGCTGACTAGTTAGCGAAGGAAAAAGCCAGAGCAAAGAAGATGGTTGGGTATCGGTTTCTAATAATAACAACAAATTCTGGGTGGATGGCCTAGAGGATTAGGCCTCATGTCAGTTTGGAGAGAATGGACCATGGATCGAAGACCAGAAGTCCAACCCGATTTTTCACAGATCAGTATTTTTAAATATCGAATCGAGTTAATGTTTACTTTCTAGTTTGGCATTCTGTTAAATAAAATTTCGGGGTTTTTTCTAGAGACCGGCACGGGACGGGACCCCGTACGGGATTTTACGGGATCCCGTCCCGGAATCCCGGGTTTTTCGCGGAAAACGGGATTACCGGGATTCCGGGATTTACGGGATTAATCCCGCGGGATCCCGTCCCGGTCGAATTTTGAAAACCCAATCCCGTTCCGGGATCCCGGGAATTTTTTTCAAATTTACGGGATTTATAATTACTCCAGTAAACTGCCTGCGGAGCTGAAAAAGGAAGAAATCTGGCTTCTTGGCCGTCCAAAATTCTCAAAATTTTCGCCTGCGGCGCTGAAAAAAGAAGAAATTTGGTGACTTGCTCTCCCCTGCAGCGCTAAAAAATGAAAAAAGCTGGCTTCTTAGCCTTCCAAGAAAAGAAAAATTCGAAAAGTTTTGCCTGTGGTGGATGGATTACGAGTAATAAGAATGGATCTTTGAGATTAACAGAGATATAGAGGGATTGTGAGGTGTACGTTGGTTTGTAATTTAAATCGTCTTAAGTTCAATTCCGGAGGATTAAGAGATATATGATGTTGGGGTATTGGAAAAGGATATCATGAATTTGGGATTAACACCAGATTAAGAGGGATTTGGAGGATAATAGGGGGTATCAGGGATTTATGGATTAAGAGGTATATCGAGGATCTGAGGATTAAGAGTATATTGAGGGATTAGAGGAATAATCCCCATATATCCATTCAAATCCAGTTGAGCCTTAAATCCGCTATATTCGACCTGACCCACCGTTTTTCAAATCACCCTTTACCACTCCAAATATACCGATATCACCCTAAATCCATCTATAAGCATTCAAATCCTCTTAATCCCTCTTAATCCACTAATATCCCTCTTCATACTCTTATATCTATTCATTCCTCCCTTAATCCATCGAAATCAACCGATATTGACCCAAAATCCGCCAATATTCAAGTTATTTTTAATTTAAAATTTTTTTTGTGAAAATCCCGGAATCCCGGCGGGATCCCGGGAAATTTGAGAACGGGATTACCGGGATTACGGGATTTACGGGATTAATCCCGCGGGATCCCGTCCCGTACAAAATTTTGAAAAAAAATCCCGTTCCGGGATCCCGGGAATGCGATTTTGCCGGACTCTAGTTTTTTCTAAATTTAAATAAACATTGTAAAATATTTCCTACCAAAATTATTATTCTCTTCAAATTCAAAAAATAATTCCCAACATCTCTTATTTTTATTGAATTGATGTAATGAATAAAAACACATTGCCCCAAAAGGAGAAAATAATAAAATAAAAATTTCCGAGTCAGAAACAAAAATTAATTCCCCAAAATGTTGTTTAGAAGAAATTGTTTCTAATCCTTTTGGACCTCCCCAAGTATTTGTAATTGTATCAAAATAATCAGAATGAGAACCATTAAATGCTACATAATTCCCCCAATGATAATTTGGACGTTCAAAATCTTTAAAAAATTAAAAAAAGGGTTCTGTTGTTATTTTTTTAGTGGAATGAAAAATTACAAACATTTCTGTCCAAAAAACCACAACTTTTCTTCACAAAATACTACTTTTTGATATTCCTCCAATTTATTCTGATATTCCCCAATTTTTTGAAGCCAATCAGATTTTGAATTCATTTTTGATTGGAATAGTAAAATTAAAAATTAAATAAAAATCTAGAAATAAATTTTATATAAATTAAGTATAATACACTCTGTCAGAAAATGATAAGCACCCCTTAGTTTTTACGTAAAAAACTTATTTTCGTTTAAGGTAAAGTAATTTTAAATTTTTTTGTAAATTTCTAATTCATATTCGAAAGAAAAACAATCAGATATAAATTATTTATGGGTAGAAGGGGGTTATAACTGGTGTCAGATAATTATAAGCACCCCTAAAGTTCCGACATTAGGGGTCGTCTGAAAAATATACAAAAATTCCTATGAACATATTTAGTGATGTGAATCACTTTTTGGGGGCGTTTGAGTGATTTCTATGACCTGAAAGTTTATCAAATTATCTCTTACAGGTGAATTTTTTTTCGAAAAATAAGATTAATTCTATCTTGTAGCAAATTTCAAGGGCTTTCAAATAAGCCCAAAATAAAATTTTTATTTCACCTGTAAGGGGTCGAAAATATTTTTTAAAGACGTCTACCCCCAGTTTTCCGTTGATTTTTGGGTTTTTGGATCTCGATGTAGGGGTTATGTTAGAACTTAGTTTCTTTTGTATTTTCGATTTACATCAATAAGTATGTTCATATGAATTTTTGTAGATTTTTCGGACGACACCTAATGTCGAAACCTTAGGGGTGCTTATAATTATCTGACAGTCGTTTTAACGAAATTTCATTCATTTTCTCTACTATACATATTTATTTTAGCAATGATTGTTTTTTTCTGTTCAATATGCATCAGAAAATCCTAAAAATATTTAAAACTATGATATGTTAACTTTAACTATGTTTTTATTCAAAAACTAGGGGGTGCTTATAATTTTCTGACAGAGTGTATATTTTTTAAAATTTTTTAAAAATTTAATTAGAATGTAAATAGGTATATTTTTAAAAATTATAAACAATACTGGATATCTGACGTTCTGTGGCTCCGGGTTCTACCTTCTACAAAGCTTGGCTCCGGCTTTGGGTGAATCCGGTTCAGGAGCTAACTCTGTGAGCCATACACTAGAGGTGGGTCGGAACAGTCAGAGGTGTCGGAAATCGGAACTGGCTCAAAAGTCGGAACTCGGAAATCGAAAATTTCGGAAACCCACCTCTGCCATACACAGCACTAATTATTTAAATACAAATATATTTATATTTAAATATTGAATTTATATAAATAGAGTGTTTACTTTAACAGCTGGAATAAATAAATTCGCAATAATGAGAGAATGGCTGGCTGACGAGCGAATTTACTTAAGTGAATGAATAAAAGATTGATTGTTCAAAAATGAGTCATCATATTTTTAGAAATATTTTTAAATTAATTAACTTTATACAAATTTTCATAATTTATTACAGTTATTTATCTAATAAATAATAATTATTATTAATAAAAAAATTGAAAGATTTTTTTAGAAAATTTGAAAAGCAAGAATAAAATTATATATATTTTGAGAATAAATTAAATTTATTAAAAATTATTAGATTATTTAATATTTTGTTAACTTTTTTTATAAAAAAATTGCAACAATCACAACCAATTTTTATACATTTTTTGAGTAAATAAAAAATTAAATAAAAATTAAAAACAATTTGAAAAATACACATTTTTAGAATAAAAAAGAAGGGATTAAAAAATAATGTTTTTTAAAAAATTTTAAAAGTTTTAACTACAAATCTCTCATTTTTGAAATTTCTCATACAAAAATGTAATTATGTAACTGTCAATTCTTTGTTCCTTTAAAATAAAAAAATGTAGAAATGTTTTTAATTAATTAAAAAAAATTTTTAAAATTATTCACATCTCAATCATTTCTAAACTTTCGATTTTACCACGACATAATGGACAAATCTAAAATTGCATTCAAATAATTTGAAAATAATTTTTATAAAAAATTAATATTTATTTTTAATTACTATGTATTTATTTAATAAAATAATATGTAAATAAATATTTATGTATGTATACCAGGGCTGGGCGATTTCGCATTTTCGTTTCGCATCTTTCGCATTTTTTAGTTTCAGCGCGAAAAGTTTCGCATTCCGCATTTCGCTTTTTAATATTAGATTTCGCCCAGCCCTGATGTATACTATAGGGTTGTCGGATTCTTCGGTTCCGAAACCGAACCGAAGAACAGAAAAATTATCGGTTCTTCATTTCGGTCCAGAACCGACAACTCTAAATACATACATATATTACTTAGTCTTTCTCGCTGTTTAACCTATTTTTATTTAATTTAAAATTAATTATATTTTAAATATTTAATATTTTTACATGCACATGTTGAATACATTTTGAATGAAATAAATGCTGAAAATTATAATTTAATTGTTTAAAATAATTTTTAAATTAATTAAAAATTATTAACATTGCAAGGAATAATTTTTTGTGTTTTTTCACCATTTTCGAGTTCTTCTAAACAAATTGGACATTCATTTGTGTTTGGAGCTTTAAAAATATTCTCTTTAGTTAAAAATAAAAAATAATTTTTAATTTTTACGAAATGGAAGTTCATCAAAAAATAATTGTTTTGGATTAAAACGATTAATTATTTCTTTTAAATTAATCTCTTCTAAATCTTCATCAAAACTAAAATTAAATTTTTAATAAATATTTTTCTTCTAGTATTTACCCATTATTTTTTAAAAACAAATTTGGAACAAAATTACAATTTCTTTTAATTTTTTGTTTTGGTTTTGTTATAATTTTCACACATTTTTCAATTTGTTCAAATTTTGAAGTCCCTTTTTTGTAAATTTCATTCAAAATTTGTTTTTCTTTTCCCCAATCCCAACTATAAATATAATTATTTAAATTAAATTCAATTTTGTATTTATCTTCAATTGCTTCTTCACTTTCAGTAATTTTTGAGGGGGCTACTTTTATTTTTACATATTCTTTTCCAAAATTTGCAAACAAAAAATTAGTTAAACATCTTGACTGTTTTTCTTTAAAT